GTGCAAACAGCGTGTTGCATCTGGGGCTGGGCGTGCATTGCATGGTGCTTTGAATAGATGTGCTGCATGCTATGAGGAGCTGGGCGTGCATTGCATCGTGCTCTTAATGCACATGCAACATGCATGCTAGGAGTGCATTAAACTATGCATGCAGTTTTGCAGCTGTGTGTGCAGTGCACGTTGTGTGCACATTACGATCTGTACATGTGCATACAGCATGGTGCATCTCGGCTGGGCTTGCATGGAATCACACACAGCATGCTGCACCCGTGGCCGTGCCCACCCCAAATTGCATTAAATGCACACAGTGTGCTGCATCTGGGATTTGGCTTCCTTGTGAATTAAGCATGCATTGAACTCTTGGTGTTTGAGGCTAAGCTTGCTTTACATGGTGCATTAAATCTGTATGCAACAGGCTGGCTGTGCATTAAATAGCACATTGGATGTGCACATAACTGCTGCAACCTGGGGCTAAGGATGCATTCAGTTGTGCATTAAATAGCAACATTGAGTGCACATAACATGCTGCACGTGCAGGCAGGCATTTCATAATTGCTTTGTTGAATAATTGGTTAAATCTCCATGTAGCATATTGTATTTGGGACCGGGCAGGCACTAAATAGTGCATGAGAGTGCACTAAGTGTGCGTGCAGTATGCTGTACTTGATGTTGTGCATGCATTAAGCAGTGCATTAAATAAATGCATGGCATGCTGAAACCAAGGCCCTAGAAAGGAGAGAATGCAATGCCAAAAGGAACTGTTGCAGGGCACAGTCATGTACCTGGCCGCAGCTTTGGCTGGGCAAAGCTAAAGCCATGCTGAAGTTGCTTTGCATCCTGTTCCAGCTCACTCTGCGTGCTGTGGAGGATGCTCAGGGCTCAGTGTGAGCTCCTGCAGCCCTCTGCTTGGAGGACCTGGGCACAGGAGGACTTTTGGGATGCTGTTACCCAGTTCTGGTTCAAGAACTGGGTAGCAGGAGCTCAGATCTGCTTTTGCAGAGCCAGTGGTTGGTTGCGTGAGATGCTGCCAAGCGCTGGGGTGTACTACTTCCCATGGGAAATCAACAGCTCCATTCCAGAAGGGGAAGCACTGAGGACATTTGGCAGGTGAGGAGGGTATCGTGGGCTCCTTGCAGGCCGGGTTGCTCCCCCACTGGCCCCCCTGTACCCTGGCTTTGTTTGCAATCTCAGCTGTGCACCTCCCAAATCCATTGCTCCCAGGCTAAGCTGCTATGACCTGGCCCGATCCGAAGCCACTGTCAGCACTCAGCATGGCTCAGCCCAGCACCACGTCCACATCGACACCACACTGGTGGAACCGTTTGAAGCCCAGCTGGGATCTCTCTACATGGTCCTGGGAGAGGCTGAACGCAGGGAAGGTAAATGCTGTCTCTGTTTGGCTGGATACACTAGATAATGAGTAAAGGAAGGTTGGCTTTAACCAGAAATGCTGCTGCACAGTCTCCATTCCTGTCCAGTGGGTTCAGGCACTTGATGCTGAGAGTCTGATGAACCTTTGGAGCCCTGGAAGCTGTTTTGCTACCCCTGCTCCAGCATCCATCTCCATACCATGGCTACAGCTCTTATCAAATGAGCCCCCCTGCAAAGTGCTGGAAAATGCACAACACTGCTGGACTGCCCTCTGCTTGAGGAACCAGTGCCCTTATCTTGATGAAAACCCGGTGCTCTGGCACAGATTTCTTCAGAAGCCAGAAGTGCCTGAGCAGCACAGCTCATGAAACCAACGGTCAATTGCCTTCGCTCCGAGTGTGGCTGACTGCAGCAATACCGTGTTGGGAGCTGGCTGGGTTGGTCTTTGCCATCCTTGAAAGGCTTTAATTACACCCTGCCCTCAGAGATGGGGCGTGTGGAAAATGGGCAGGCTTTGTCACCCTGTTGTCACTCTGTTGTTATCCTGCTGGCCTTCCTGGGGTGCCCTGAGTGTTATTCCAGCTTTGCATGGGATTTCAGTTGGGCTGTGGGGCTATGAAGCAAATCCCAAATGTTGTCCTGGCCATACCTGATAACAAACACTCACATTTGTGCCCTTTAAACCCTCAGCAATGGGTGGAAAGCCACAGTGCATGTGGCATCTGGTGAGTCACCTGCTAAGCCTCTGCTGCAAAGCTCCTTTAGGAAGGCATGTTATTTTGGTTGTCACTGCCTAGGAGCAAGTTGACCTCATTTTGTAGGCATGAAAGGGCAGGAGGCTGAGAGGCTGTGTGCACAAGGCTGATTGTGTTCACGAGGCTTGGCCCCTAGCGCAGCACCTGAGTCCATCAATGAACCGCTGGTTCATTGAACCTGGCTCAACAGGCAGCGTTGAGCCTCTTTTATGCCCAGCTCTGTTGTCCCCTCTTCTTGCCTGCAGAGGTTGGCTTAAACGCAACCCTGATGCTTTTCATATAGGAAAAGCCAAAGCTGCTCAGTTGCAGCCGTGGAGTGGATGGATGCTGTTTGGTATCCTGGGCTCTGCCTTCACCTGGCAAAGGGAGCTCAGTGGCAATCATTGGCATTTGGCAGCTGACAAGGCAGAAGGAAGGAAGCACATCATGAATTAACCTGCTGCTTGTGGAGGCGTGCAGCAGAGCAGCGTCCTGCAAGGTCTCAGCCTATGGTTATTTGGCCACCTGGAAGTGTACATTGCCAGAAAGGGAGCTTTCTGTGTGCCGCAGAGCTTCTACTTCTCTTTCTCTTCCTACAGAAGCTTCCTCTATATTTCCAGGTGAGAATCCTGTGATAAAAGCCCGCATATTGACCTGTGTGGAAGGGATGAACATGCCTCTGCTGGAACAAGCCATCCAGGAGCAGAGAAAGTACTTCCAGGAGAGGCAGCAGCAGATGGAATCTGGCACGTCCTGACAGCAGCTCTGACCCCAGCCTGTGCTGGTCCCCACCAAGGCCGTCTGGCAGCTGCCATCTGTAGAAAACATTTGGAAAGTGTATTTAGAAGGTGGGTTTGAAACATTGCTGCTTTTTGTCATGGCAAAGAGAGAAGTCACTAAATAGGAAAGTACATGAAGATTGAACCAGTACGTAAATGTGGAGCTGCCAGTTTGTGCCAGTTGTCACCATGGAAAATGACTGGGAAGCAAATTTGTTGTTTAAGAGAGTGGTTAAGGAAAAAGGGTGCTTGAGTTAACAGCAGTTCTTTTGTAATGCAGGGCTTGGAGAGGTCAGTAAAAGGCAAAGTCTCTGAACCTCTAGTTAAACATCTGCACACATCCGCATGTGCTGCCAACATGCTGCAAATGAGAGGTAAAGGGCAGCAGTGCAAAGTCTGTTAGCCCTGCATGGCTACGGGTTCACGAGTGCATGCGTTGGGTTGTGGTGACTCGGCTGCCACACAGGAGCATTCGTGGAAAAACACTCAGGTCTGGACTGAACAGCAAAGGAACAAAGAGAGCAAGGAGCCTCTACTTCACTGGGACTGCCTCTTAGAAGGGTCAGGAGCCTGCATCCAAGATGCATGGTTGACTTTTGCTCTAAATTAAATATTTGCACTGCCCTGACAACCGTCACTTGACTTTCTTCCTTGACACATCTAAGTTTAGGAGACCTTAAATCATTATTTTTGGAAGCATCTAAAGGTTTTGACTGATATTTTCCTAAATAAAGACAGAAAGAGAATGTGGTTTGCCTTTTATTGATTAAAAACCTTTCTTGCTAAGGCATGTGCATTAGGCCCTGCAGAAACACTGTGGGTGATGTAAGAAGACACAGCAAACTGCCTTTTTCCTTCTCCTCCTAAGGTCTGGGTGTGTAAGGAACTGCTTGGCTTCGATAAAGTTGCAAGAAGAGGAGATGAAATTACATCAGAGCCAGCCTGGCTTAAGAACACGGTGCCAGGCCCAGCAGGATTAAACTGTCAATAACATGACAAAATGGCTAATGTGAGATGAGAATAAAATTAGAGCGTGACAGACTTCTTTGTGCAACAGAAATTGAGAGATCTGGGGTGAGGTTTGTCTGCGGTTCTCTGTAACTCAGCCACCTGCAGCCTTTTCTGTTTTTTTGCTCAGATTCTCTGCTGAAACGTTTGGAAAACATGGACTGAAGCCATCCAGTGAACAGAAACAGAGCAAAACGGCACCAGACATTGCCATAGGCTTGATTCACAATCCTGAGGTTGCTCAGTAATTACAGTATTTGTGATAATCTTTGATCATAGTTGAGACTTGTGTATGCTCATGCAGTTACCAAGCTCTGGAAGCCCTATCTCTGCACACGTTAGCTGTTCAGCCCAAGTCCAAAACCATTATCTCGAGAAGCAAGATTTTGTCCTGGTTTTATAAGTCAACTGTTCACATGTTGTGACGTGTTTATATTTATATCTCATCTGTTTATTCTCCTGCCTTTCCCCCTGGGCTTAAATTTTAGCCAAATGGCCATGTTTACCAGATAATTGTGAGTATCCAAGCTACGGCGTTCCTGTAAGTTCTACAGGAAGGGGGAAAAAAAAGGGGGAAAAAAAAAGGTAGAGCAAATTTGGCAGTGCTTTCAGATGAAGATCCAAACAAACTCAACCTTTCCAACCCAGTGGAGAACTCACGCAGAAGCCTTGGACATACAGATCCACAGTTATGGATCTGCCACCTACTTTTGATTCTTCTGTGCCAGCAACATCAGGATTCATTTTAAAACAGTTTGAGCTGGTGGCTTAGGATGCACTAAAACAGACTATTTAGATCACACAGAAGTGCCATGGAACCATGCATTCAGTGGGCTGCCATGTCCTGCGCCCAGCCCAAGACCCAGGTCTCTGTAGCTCCACCTTTTGTTGTGCCACCACGTGTAATAAGCCTTTAACCTGCCAGCTAGCGAGTCAATTATTAATTCCCCCACCAAGGACATCTTCCAAAGGGCTGACCAAGCAGCACAGCCCTTAGTGGGGAGGCTCACGGGACAGTTGTGCAAGACAAATTACACACCACATCCCCTTCACACCAGGCACAAACAGAACCAAGCATTGGCCCTGTGTAACCTTTCCCACAATCCCCGAGCAGCTCTTTGGGTGCATTCTATTCCATTTCCGCTGTATCCGCTGCAACAGAACAAGCTGCCGGCCCCAGGTTGTCACTGTGGGGCTCTTTGGGTCTACACAGCTGCTCTGTAATCCAACAGCCCTCACCCACAGCTGAGCTCTGGCTCGGAGGAGTGGTGCGGTGATCAAGCAGACGCTGTGCTGCGCTCCTGCACCTTTTCTCCTTTTGTTCTTTTCCTCCTTCCGTGTCAGCAGCCACAAGGCTGAGGCCATGCAGGCCTTCCAGCAGGTGTTCCAGAAGGTGGAGAAGATCGGGGAGGGCACCTATGGTGTGGTGTACAAGGCTCGCAACAAGCGCACGGGGCAGCTGGTGGCCCTCAAGAAGATCCGCTTGGACGCGTGAGTGGGGCCATGTCCTCCCCTTGGGGACACCACAGCCTAGCTCAGCCTGCTGTGCTGCAAGGGCCCCGAGCACAGGGTGCAGAATGGCTTCAGAGGCTCTAAAAAGCCTGACACGAGGGGGAAAAAGTGTGTCTAGCGGCTAATGAGAGTGATGAGAGCACAGCCCCACAACCGCAGCTCAGGGCAGGGGAGGAAGCCGCCATTTTGGGATGGCGCCATTTTGGGGTGCCGCCATTTTGGGGTGCCAACTCTCCCTCAGGAGTGCAGCACTGGGGCCTGGCGAGGCCCTGTACCGACTTCAGCCCCTTCGGAATGGGGACTGAATGTGTACAAGGTTAATCTACTCTTCTGGGCTGTCCAGACTGAGGAGTGTGGGTGCAGACTGATGCCTATAGTGGTGGCACTGCCCCTTCCCCCCCCCATCACTGCCTCTCTCACCTTCCCCATGGCTCTGCGTCCCCCCATGTCCAACCCAAGCCTGTGGTACCAAGTGTGAGACCCTCCCCTAGGCCCAGAATGGGGCACAGTGACAGGAAAAAGGGAGGTGGGATAATGCCAGGCTGTACGGTCTGGCTATGACATGGGGTGCTCTACAGCCCACTTCTGCCATAGGGAGACAGAGGGCGTCCCCAGCACTGCCATCCGAGAGATCTCGCTGCTGAAGGAACTGAAGCATCCCAACATAGTCAGGTAAGAGCCACGTGAATCCTCCCCACCAGCTCCACATCCTGCTCATCACCACAGTTGGCTCCAGATCAATCTTTCACAGCCCGTACAAAAAAAAGCAAAAGTAAAATGGAAACAAACAAAATCAGGCTGATACAAGTCCTCCTGTACTGCATACCTGACCTTCTGCTCTGCCTTAGAGGGCTTTCAAAGCAGAGACACCTAAGGAGAAATGAGGGATGCTTGGAAGTTGGCAAAGGCCTGAACGTCATCCCAGGTGCTGTGACATCCCTGTGTAGCACCAATTCCCATGCAAAGGCATTGAAGGGGGTGCTTGAACTTCTCTTGCAGGCTCCTGGATGTTGTGCACAGCCAGAAGAAGCTGTATCTCATATTTGAGTATCTCAGTCAGGACCTGAAAAAATACATAGACTCTACCCAAACTGGAGAGTTTCCTTTAAGCTTGGCCAAGGTACAGTGCTGGAAGGAGAGCTAATAGGTCTGCAATAGAGTGAGTCCTTGCTGCCTTCTGCTGGTCAGAGCCAGCACTGAGCTGCTCTTAGCCAGGCTGCACTGGGGAGAGACTCATCCTCAGCTGCAGTCAGTCAGCCTTTCTAATCTAAAACTTTTCAGCTGGGAAAGCCTCCTGGTGCAATTGCTCAGTGCATTTGTTTCCCAGCTGTTTCCAGGCTCTCTCACCCGTCTCATTTCTGAACAGACTGTTAATAGGACAATAGAGGGATCTACTGCTAATTGTTTTTCTAGACTAGTGGATAGTGGATTTGTGACTGCTGCTGCTTGGACTGGAGTGTCTCTATCTCCATACAGCAGGAGCAGTTTGTGTGGATCTCTGGGTAGTGGCCTGCAAGCCTGGTGTTGCATAATTGCAAAGTCATATTCCTCATTAAAGTCTATAAGTGAACTAAAATGTGCTGGTTCATGTAATCAGATCTTTGAAGTGGTTTAATTGCTGTGCTGCCTAAAATCTCTTCTTTCCTTAGAATTACCTTTTCCAGCTGCTGCAGGGTGTGAGCTTTTGCCACTCCCACAGAGTCATCCACAGGGACTTGAAGCCACAGAACTTGCTCATTAATGAAGCAGGAGCAATCAAACTGGCTGATTTTGGGCTGGCAAGAGCTTTTGGAGTTCCCCTGCGCACATACACTCATGAGGTACTGTTAAGACTCCCTGCCACCTGAGAGTGAGGTACACAAACTATAGTGGATGCATGACAGCACCACAGTGACATATCCATAGCTGACCTGCAGTTAAGGGTCACCTCGTGTCCCCACAAATTGTGCTGACCCCTTCCACCCCAGCCTGCCTGTAAACTGGTTTCTTGCTTTCTTTTCATAGGGTATATTTATTCCAGTGCCTCATTAAAAAATGACCTTTAATCCCAGACATGCTGTCAATAATTAAACATGGTCATAGCACACTCTGATTTGTACAGTCACTGTTACAACAGAGAAAAAAAAGGATTCCATGCCTCTAGTTTCACTCAGGAAAACTAGACAGGGCTTGTTGTTGGTTCCTTACCAGGTGGTGACTTTGTGGTATCGAGCTCCTGAAATACTCCTGGGATGCAAATACTATTCAACAGCTGTGGACATGTGGAGCATCGGCTGCATCTTTGCCGAAATGGTAGCGTGGGTTTTAATGTGTCTTTAAACGAGGGGGGAGAGCCCAGCTGCAAGGGGAAGTGGAGAAGGAGGGGCAGGATGCAGAGTATCTGTGATACTGATCTGTGGTCCCACCCCGTCCTGGGGTGTGTTATGGAAACTCCACCCTGAGGGTGAGCTGATCCTCGTGCTGTCAGAAAGAGATCTGCTGCCAGGAGGGAAGTGCCGGAAGGTAAAGCGGCCTCTGTAGTCTGGCTGCAGTGTCGGTACGTGACAGCGTCGTACTTCAGTCCTACCGCCGCAGCATTTTGATGCCGGGAGGAGCAGACTCTTGCCGATGTCTCCCAGCAGGTTGCAGAGAACTAGCATTTCAGAACAGGTCAGAGCATTGCTCTGTTTGGGTCTCCTACAGAACTACAGTCTAGTTCAAAGAGCTCAATATCCCTGCAGCAAGACAGCACTTCCCCCAGCTCCCAAAGCCCCTGAGCTGCTGAGCAGAACCTAAGCAAGCAACTGGTCTTCAAGAGAGGGTGGTAGGAAACTTGAGACAAAGAGGGTTAAAGGACCGATTGAAAGTGGGACAGCCTCAGGGGAGTCCTGGTCCATGGGAGGAGCAGGGGACAAGCATACACCCTTCAGTCTTCCAGCTGTTGCCTGACAGAACTGCCTCGACTTGAGCAGTTTTTTTGCATCTGCTGGAACAAAGGTTTGTTTGCAGGGAGAAATAGGGCACAGAGCTGATGGAAAGCTGGGTCCCGGCTGCTTTTTTTTTTTTTTTAAATTTATTTTATGTATGTATTTTTTGCTGCAGGTGACCAGGAAGGCCCTGTTTCAAGGGGACTCAGAGATCGATCAGCTCTTCCGGATCTTTCGCACCCTGGGCACTCCCACCGAAGCAACCTGGCCTGGGGTGTCACAGCTGCCTGACTACAAGGGTGACTTTCCCCAGTGGGCAAAGAAGGAGATGAAGGAAGTTGTTCCCAGCTTAGATCAACACGGCAGAGACCTGCTGGCGGTGAGTGTGGGCTCAGCGCAAGGCCTGTGGACAAGAATATAGCTGGGGCTGATCTACCTTGAAACACATCAGCTGAATTGGCTGTAACGTTCATATTGTCCATTGCAGAAACATCAACTCATTGAAAGGTGTATTTGTTTGAGGAACTTTGTATTTGCATACACAGTATTCGGGGCACAAAATTCAGAGCGTTTTCAAGTACATGCAATTGTGTTTTTATTTAACATACTGATTGAATCACTGGAAGAAAAAAAAACCAAAAACCACTTGCAATCTATGCAACCTTCCTAATGTGTAGAGCTGAATCCTGGCTGTCAGTGTAAGTTCCCCTAGGGCTCTGCTTCAGCTGGGGGTTTTATTCCTGAAGCCCAGAGAAGTGCATCTGGGCCCAGCCACATGCAGGTGCAATTGATCATCTGGCTTGTAAAATCCTAAACCTGATGTTTGTTTTCTCTTGGCAGCAATTGCTCCTGTACGACCCCAGCAAACGCATCTCAGCCAAGGCAGCTCTCAGTCACCAATACTTCTTATGGAAAAGCCCCCAGAGCACTGAGGAGCAACACGTGCAGCAGAAACACTGCAAATGAGATACACAGCTCTCTCCATATACCTCTGGAGAGCAGTGCAGATCTGCTTCAGTGCACTTAGCAAGAGGCTAGTCCTGTCCCCGGGCCTTACTTTTCCTGAGAAGTCCATTTAGAGTCTCTCAGCCTGTTGCTGGGGGAAGGTTTGCTTAAGTTACGTCCGATAGAGCTGTTTTCATGTTTGCCATGTGCAAAGGTGAGGTTACTGTCAGCATAAAACAGTGACATGTAAAAAAGGGAGCGTGTTTCAGATGCTTGTCCTTGCATTAGCCAGCAAGCTAAGGTGACTTACACACAAAGATTTCTCTCTCTCCAGCACTGGAGCACCCCCAGATCTCACTGCAGGTTTGATGATGCAGTTCCTGACACCAGGGTGTGCTGGAGCTCTGCTGTGAGTAGGACAGTGCTGCTCTGCTTACCGTTCACTGTTAGCAAAAACCAGATTTGTCAGTGTTGGATATGTTGAAGTTGAGCTGATTAACAGAGGTGACAATCTGCTGTTCTGAAAGCTGAGGAGCACTGTAAAGTATCTTAATTTATGCCTTAGCTGTGAGAAGCCAGAAGATCCAGCTAGAATAAAGCACTTGCTGCATATATTGGAAACTGACATCTGAAGCACCAGCTTTCCATCATCAGCCCAGGTGTAATGCTGACTCCTTTGCTTTATTGTCTTGGAAATGCTTTTGCTGTTCAGGTGTTTGGAGAGTTACCATTAACTTCTAGTGTGGCTTTGGCATTTGTGGCCTTGTGGGGTTTTTTCACTGTAGAAAAAAATAAAGGCTTGCCATTTGTTCAGAAACATCTGTGTGTATTGCTTGGTATTGAGCTAGTGAGGCAGGGCAAGCTGCTCCTGCACTCTTCCTTTATTCTTTGCAGCCCAAGTCCTTGGCAGGAGCAGAGCTCTCAATTCTGTCATGGCACAAAGGGCGAATGACCTGCCTGCCTGAACCAAGCACTTTTACCCTTTCTTTTGCTCCTTCTCTCCCCCTGAGGAAAGGCAGCAGGTGGCTCTGCTTCACTCCCAACATCAAAAAGACCTTTGTCATCCCTACTGTAGCAGCCCCCCCCAACAGCAACACCCTGGGAGCTGTTGCTCACCTCCCTCTGGGCCTTGCCCCACCACCTGGCTGCATTCCCCCTGCAGCTTCAGAAGCCGCCAGGACCTGGGTAGCTTGCTTGCCTCTGCAATTTGCACAAATTAGGTTTTGGGGAGGGTTGCTTTGCTTTTGAAGCTGTTGGTAGGAGTCATGCTGGAGTGCCTTGCCCAGAAGAAGCTGTGCTGCCTGTGCAAGGGAGGCACGGTTTGTGATTGAGGAGGGCAGGCAGCAGGGCTCTCCCAGCAGCCTGCAGAGCCATGTGGTTGGAAAACCGAGGGCTGCCGTGCATCTCATGTCCTCCACATGATAACAAGCAGCTTGCAGGGACTCTTTGGAGAGACCTGGATGAATTCTGCTGTGGGAATAAGCACCTTGCCTTTGCATACACGTTTTAAAGTCAAATCACTTTGTACAGACAATGCTCCATTGTTTGCGCTCTGCAAACAAACCATCACTTTGTACCTAATAAACTGTTGGCAGAGCAGTGTTTGCTTTTTTTTTTTCCCTCAAGACCTACATTAAGAAATAAATATCAAGGGCAGCCATGCAGACCAGAACCATACATAAAAATAGCATGGCTCATCGAGCACAGTAAAATGAAGCAACAGGTTGGATTTCAGACATTTACGACCCAAGCCAACAAAAGGCACCAACAGCAGCTGTGTTGACCTGATCACCACGATCCTGCCCCACCATCCTGTGCTGGAGAAGGCAGGCAAAGCACTGCCTGCTTCCTCCTGAGCAGCACTATGTGACGGCTGGCTGGGCTGTGGGAAAGCCCTCAGCAGCACGGGGCTTCCTTTGGATGTCAGGTTGCCATGCAGGTGGCTTTCTGCAGTTGAGGAACATTGAACAGAGACAAGGGAGTCTCCAAGGGAGACTGCTCAGCCAGCCACACCGCTCACCCAGCTAATTGTCTCTTCACATCTTCACCCAGCCCTGGATAAATACCCATTATCCCCGTCATACAGCCACAGAGGACATTTATACAAAGCGATTAACCGACGGCCTAATTACCAGAACTCCAAATCCCTTAGTTATGTAGCATTCCTTAAAACTTTCAAAGCAGCACTTCAGGAAAGAGTCACCACATGACCGTCCTGTTGCTTTAATAATGTGAGGAATCTCATTAGCAAGAGGAGCAGCAGGGAGGAGGGTTTCTTGGAGCCCAAACTCCAAATCCCACGTAGGCAATGTGGAAATCCAGGCTACGCTGCTGCTCTGATGGGGAAGGATGTGAAGAATGTTATGGATTGCTTTGGCTGCGTTGGGTTTTCCCAGCAGCATCAGCTAAAAGAACCTTTGCTGGAGATGGAAGAGCAGCTCGTGTCGGTAAGAAGTCATTTTTCTCATCCCACAAATCTGGGGACTCTCCATAATGGGGTAAAGGAAGAACATTTCACCCCTTCTATCCACAGGGAGATGTGTGAGATGGGACCTGTTTATTTCAGCAAGGGCTGAACACTGGAAGTGACAGAGGGAAAGCTTAAAAAAAAAAAGCAAGTGTAGATTTTCAGGTACTTCTGGGTGGATCCCATAGCCAAGGGCTGCAGAAAGCAGTTTCACATCACTATGGATTGCAAACATCAGCAAACTGCTCCTGAAGGTCAGCCCATCCCTTGCAACACATCTGCCTCAGCATGGGTGCAGGACAAGCCCCAAAACCTCCCACTTCAATGTGGTTTGATTGGGTTTTTGCTTGAGGCATGTCTTCATCTGTCGGCAGCTCAGTGAACCAACCCAAGGCATCTACAGCACTGGCACCAGGTACAGGAAAATCTTTAAAACTGTGAATAGCAGAATAGTATTTCTGCTCACTTCAGTGCTGTGAGATCTGTGGAATCAAGAGTCTTCAAACCCCCTACAGATAGGGCATGTGGTTTATGGGAACGCATCCCTTACCTTCAGCCTTAGGTTACAGAAAGAACACAGCCACAGAGACGCACTTTCTACGTTTATTGCATGCAGAAGAATGACCCAACTTGAAAACACTCTGCCTCTCCCCCTTTCTGTCTACAGCCATGTTTAATCTACTGCCATCAGAGTTCTTGCAAGCAAACCCCTTCTGCTGTCACAGCAACCCTGGGGGACAGTGGGACCTGCGTGCCCAGCTCCTTGCACGTGTTCGATCACGCTTTCTTCCTCACACGACCAAGCTGTGTTGGGAAGCAGGGATAGCTAAGATAGAAGAGTATGCAGCTCTAAATGCTAGATGCTCCATTCCCGTGATCGCTGCTGCTTCCGCAGGGAGAGATGCTTTGAAGGGATGAACTCCTGAAAGGACCGATCCGTTCAGTGCCTGAACCGCGAGAGCTTGGGGGAGCGGTAGGGCTGGTAGCCCTCTGATGCGGCTGGGAGGAGCAGCAGGCTGCCCAGAGAATCCTTCTGGCAGAGAGCCATGGCCTCCTTGTAATTTATCTTCTCCTTAGTGATGGGGTCGACGAGGTCTTTCTCATAGCTGGACTCATCCTGGAGCCTGTTGGCCAGGTCACCCGTTATCATGCCCATATGGGCAGCTTCCAGCACGGGGATGCGACCGGTTTTCTTGGGGTCAATGAGCCCTCCAGTTAGATGCTGGACCTCCAAATAGGGGAAGGCACTGTCCTTGGTCATCCATCCCTTCTGAACTGCTTCCCCCACAGACAGCCTTCTCTTGGTCACTGGATCCTCAATCCCCGTGAAAGCTTTCTGGGCGTTGAGCAGTCTCTGCATGTAGGTCCTGTCGATCAGCCCCCGCTCAATTGCCTTATGGACCGACAACCGGTCCCGAGAAAGGAGGTCTATGATGCCTCCCGTGGCAGCCTGGGCTTCCAGGAGCTTCTGAGCAGTCATGGGATCAAGCAGCTTCTTTGTAACAGCAGTCTTGATGTTGTACTTGGTGTCAGTGGTGGTATCGTACACCCCGGCGATGGGGGACGTGTCATCACTGAAGCCCTTCTGTGAGCCTGGGGGGAAAAAGCTTTGGGTTTGCGGCGTAGTGGGGGATTGGATTGGGGATTTGGAGATGATGGAACCAATAGAAAGGGATGAGGGAGGCTTAGATTCCCCAGCCACCAGCAAGGCAAATTCAGAGATGGGAATCTTGCCATCCCGGTACAGCTGGTACTCCTCCTTTGTGATCCTTCTCAGCCGCAGTGCATCATCGATGGAGTACTGCTTCCCACTCTTCTTGTCCAGCAGGACCGAGACTTCTCCGTTTGGGCCCAGGCTGGTGATCTCCTCCCAGTCACACTCCAGCTCTTGCAGCTGGATGTACTGGCCTCTGTCTATGATGCCTCTCTTATAGGCCTCGTAAGGGGACATGTCCTTCCCCGTCTCAGGGTCCAGTATAGAGATCTTGGTGGAGAGGTTGGTCTCTCTCATCTGGGTCTCGTGATTTATTTCCTCCCTGCTGACTCTTGACCGGAGATCTCGAATGAACCTCTCCTTGTTGTAGATCTGGTCCTTCTCCCTCAGGATATCTGCCTCCAGCATGGAAAACTCCTGTTCCAGCTGCTTCTTCTTCTGCCGGTCACTCTCAGTCCTCTGGTTGAGCAGTTTGGACTCTTCCCGAAGGAAAAGAACTTTCTGCTGTTTCTGCCTCTCCAGCTCCCGCAGCTCACTCTCCAGGCTGGCTCTCTCCTGGATTGCCAGGTTCCTGGCTTTCTGCAGCTCTGTCTCCTCCCGAGCCCACGTCCTCTTCATGCCTTCAGCTCTCTCGATCTTCTCCCTGAGCCTCCGTACCTCCTCTTCTGCCTTCTGCTTGGCCCCTCTCTCCCTGCTCAGCTGTTCCCAGATGCGGGCGCGTTCGCTCTCCAGCGCTCTGTCCTTTTCCACCCGAATCACCTCCTTGTAGATGGTCTTCTCCTGGGACTTTGCTTTCTGGAGGACATCAACTTGCATCTGCAGGTTCTTGCACTCTCTCTGCAAGTTCAGCACCTCCATCTTCTCCCGGTCCAGCTCCAGGCGCAGGTTGCTGGCAGACTGCTCAAGGACCGGATCCTTCTCCAATTTCACCACTTCTTCCATAATGATCTTCTCTTGCACTGGGGCCGGGCTCTCCTCCAGCTCCTTTATTCTCAAGGTAATTTGCCTCATCTCTTTCTCCAGTGCAAGCCTCTTACTTCGATCCTCCTGGAAGTTGAGGAGCTTCTCTTGCTCTTCCACCAGCACACGAAGCTGCTGCACGTCGCGTTCCAGACGCCGCCTGTTGCTCACCTCCTCATCCAGACTCCGGCTCAGCCTGTTGTGCTCATCTCGGAGCTTGGGATCCTTTTGAGTCAGAATCACCTCTTGGACGATGACCTTTTCCTCTGGCTTTCTCCTCTCCAGGAACATGTATTTATTCTGCAGGTCATAAATAGCATCCTCTGCAGCTCTCCTCTTTTGAGCCATGCTGCGCACTTCTTGACGGAGGCGGTCAGCTTCCTTTTCCAACAGCGGATCGTTCTCGTACCGGATGACTTCCTTGTTGACCAGCTTCGTTTCCACCTTGGATCTCTCCCTCTTCCATTCATCCCTCTCCCCCTGCAGCCTGATGAGCTGCTCTTGGGTCCTGCCATTGGTGTTCACTAGTTCATTCAGCTGCTGTTTCAGCCTGTCGATTTCTCTAAGAATTTCAGGACTCTTCTCATGCTTCACCACCTCCTCTATAACCTCTTTAAGCTCCACCTCTGGTTTCTGTGACCTGAGGACACTGAGCTCTGCCAAGGCCTCTTCCACCTCGCTGTCGATCTTTGTCCTTTTCAGAGTAACTTCCTGCAGCTCTCTTTTCAGGTGTGCAATTTCCTTCTCCGTTTCGGGATCCACCATGAAAATCTCATTGATTCTCTCTTTAACTTCCACCCTTGGTTTTTGCTTCTCTGCAATGCTGCACTGGCTTTGCAGCTCTCCCAGCTCACCCGCGAGCGCCAAGTTCTTGCTCCTCTCTTCTTCAATCAGAGTTTTAAGCTTGGAAGACTCTTTCAATAACTCCGGATCCTGCTCTACCTGCTTCACCTCCTTCACAATAATTTTGGGTTCTGCAGCATCAATTAGTTTTTCTACCTCCTCAATCTTGGTCTTCACCTTCACAATCGCTTCCTCTGCAGACTTCCTTTTGAAGGCCTCCTCATCAATCTGTAGCTGCAGGTTCCTCACAGACTTCAGCATCTCTGGGTTTTTCTCTGTTTTGATCAGCTCCTTCACCACCACTTTCTCTCGGATGTTGGGCTGCTTTCTCTCTAGCACGTGCAGCTCTCTCTTACACTGCTCCAGTTCGGAAGCAGCGGCCAAGCTTTCTTCCTGGAGACGCCTGATCTCCTGCCGAAGGCTGGCTGCCTGGCTATCCAGGCTGGGATCTTTCTCAATTTTTGTTATCTCTTTGGTGAGAAGCTGGGCAGGAACAGCCTTCTTCTCACTCTCCATCTGGGCAAGCTTCCTGCTCATCAGTTCGATGTCTTCTTGCAGGCTCTGCCTCTTTCTGCCTTCCTCTTCGATCTGCCGCATCATCTTGGTCAGGTTGCTCTCCAGCTGTGGGTCTCTGTAATACTCCACCACCTCCTTTTCTTCCACTCTTTCGATGGGTCTCTGAGTCTTCAGCGTGAGCAGCTTGTTCCTGTGCTCCTCCAGGTCCTCTTCAATCCTGGCCACGTTCCTCCTCTCCTCCTCCAGCTGCAATTTCAGCCCTTCAGATTCCCCGCTCGACACAGCTTTGCTTGCAGATTGCTGGGTCTGCTCACGCACGCTTTGAATGTCCTCATGCACTTCTTTCTGCAAGTAGAAAGCAAACGAAAATAAAAAAGCTGGGAAAGCAAGTCACTCTGAACCTAGCACAGAGCAGGGCAGGGCAAGAGACAGAATGGTACATAACCCCAGGGAGCACCTAAATGGGGCTGCTTGTAAGGGGCAAACGAGGACGAGGACACGTTAGCACCACTTCAAGCAGCTAAGTCTCAAAGAGTTTCCACCTGTCAGGGAGGTGCTGCAGTGCACAAGGTGCTTCGTGCTGCTTTGCTACGGCTGCAGAAGGACCGTTTCCAGCTACAGTGCAGTGTTCCCCCACTGCCCACAAGCTCTTAGCTGGTACCTTCTCAACAATCTTCTTGGCAAACTCCAGCCGGCTGAGCTGCTGTCTGTTTTCTGCCGCCAGCTCCATGTAGTGCTTGGATACATCATTTTCCTGGAAAAGGAGCAGCAGTGAGAGCCTCGTCCCACTCATCCCCAAGCCCTCCTTTCACCCAGCACACGTTCGATACTGCACTATCCCAGGGACTGCTGTCATCACATCTGACTTCTTATGCAAAATGAGATACAGAGCAACTAAGTACTTATGCAGGAGAACATGTCCCCTTTGATTGAATGGCTCTTGGATGCCTAGCGCCCTACATAGGGTTTAGGCTTCCAGATTCATCCTAAGCCACACAAGGATGGCAGTTGGTAAAGCCAAGGTGATATGGGAGATATGGGCTGCAATTGGGAAGAGCACAGAGGAGCTCTGGCTCAGTCCTGCCAAAGGCTGGTGACATCTGTCCCTGGGTTTAGGGTCACAACGTGCCTCTAATTGTGGATGAAGGCTTGCAGAGCACACAGGAACAAGATAACTGTTTCCATGTGTTTGTCTTAACGTTGTACCTGGGCCTGGATGCTTTCTTGCAGAGGGGTCACCCGCAGCCTTTTGGCAGCAAAGTCTGTCAGGGCAGGGTCCAGAGAAGAGCTGTATTTGCCTGCCTGGAGCTCATAGTCCTGTTCAGAGCCAAAACAGAAGAGTCAGCTGGGATCTCTCTGGTGAGGTGGTGATAAGGGAGTGCTACATAGGAAAACCCAGCCATACATTGAGGGTGGACTGCACACTCCGGGACAGTCTGACCACGGCGTTCTTCTCAGGCTCCTTGCTTTCAATCTCCTCCAGCAGTCTCTGCAAGACAGATGAATGATGTTAAGGATGGGTTGAAATACCACCCAGAGGCCTCCGTTCCCATCACCTGAGTGAGCCAGTTCAGGGGCTGCTCAAGCTGGTGCCATTCGGCATGCCACTTCCAACATCAAATTCCTCTCATACTTGTGATGTTGTGGTCCTTGCCCTGAAACACACCTTCTGTGCCTGCAGCTTGTAATTGATCTGGCTTGGCCCATCTGTCGTCTTCACCTGGTTCTTGGGTAGGTTGTTCATCCAGAACATCAGGTTCTCATTGGAGTTCTGGAACTGCTGGTAGGTGAGGCTGATATTTCGGAGGGTCTTCTCTCTGCATAGAACAGGAATATTAAGGAGAAGGGTAAAGATTCACGTGCAAGTTCCTAAAAAGACACCTTGGTATATATGTCAAGCCAAGATAACAAAAATGGCTCTCTGTGGAGGGTCACCGGCTCAGCAAACGGCCAGAAGTCATCTGCGTAGGACTACAAGTGCTCAGGGAGCTGCGGTTCCTCACCTCTGGTCCAGCTGGTCTGCAACAGCGTGGTAGCGGTCATTGAGGAGCTGCACCTCACGCTTCTGCCGGGGCAGGTCAGGGCAGTACTCCTGGAAGTTGTTCTGCACGGCGCTGCAGCTGTGCTCAGCATCCTTCAGCCCGCGGTTGAGCTTCAGCACGCAGTCCTCTTGGGCCACCAGGTCCCGCTTCATCTTCTGTAGGGCGAGATGCATTCGGGTTGGCAGCAGCAAAGAGAAGTGTTCTGCTCAGCGCCATCCCTAACTTGCAGCTCTTAGGGATCTCCAAGACAGACAACCGATACGGAAGAATATGGGAAACAAGACAGGCTGGATGGAGCGTGGAGAAGAAGGGAGAAGTTTTGGGGTCACTGTGAGTCAGTGTAACAGAACCTTAGAAAGGCACCATCGCTGGGTTCTTGGAGTGCTCAAATAAGCCAAATCCGGCTCTCCCCACTGGGCTGAGAGATCCCCCCACCCTAGCAAAGACTCTGATGTTCCCTTACTTGCAGGTCATTGGCTCGGTCCTGCAGGGCATTGGGAGATGCAGGAATGATGCTATCCTGGGCCAGCTTAGCCTCAAACGTGCTGACAATCTTGTCTGTGTTCTCAATCTGAGTCTCCAGGTTCAGGGCAGCCTTAGCCCTGAGGAAGGGAAAAACAACAAAGTTAGCTACACCAGACTACTTTATTTTTTCCTCTTCTCTCCAATTCCGCATTTTTAAGCTTATTTAACAGCAAAGCTTCTGCAGGCTGGGAACAAGCAGCGTGCACTCACAGCCCTGCCAGAAGCCAGGTGTGTTGTGCTTGACAGCATGAAGCATTGCTGGGACACACATCACTTCTGTGGACTTCGTACAGCTTTGTGGTATCTGACCACAGATTACGTACAGAAGGTCCTGCAGGGATACCTTTGATGATGGATGGAAGGTTCCCAATCTCCCCTGGGCTACATGGCCCTCAACCCATATGCCCACAGACCACACGCCCTTTGTTGGCACATCTGAGCAGCACCTTGCTCCCTTCATTCCCACTCACTTCTCATCGTACAGGCTGGAGAGCATGCTGACATCGCTGTATTTGCTCCTGAGGGCGTTCAGCGTGACGGGGAGCTGGGAAGCTGAGGTGCTGGTGGGCTTTTTGGAAAGATAGGTCTCACACTCCTTCTGCAAGGCATCCTTGGCTGCCCCCAGGCTCTCAAGTTTCTTTGTTGTTTCCTGGCAGGTCAGATGGGAGCAGAGTCACTGAGCGTAGTCATAACAGTGCTGCTGCCAAAACGTGTCTCCCTCAGGGGTGGCTTTTGGGGCTCTGGGTGTGGTGGCCCTTCTCACGGGCATCCAGACTGCTGCTGTCTGGCAGTGGTGGGGTGTGGGGAAGGAAGATGGAAGAAACGTATCCAAGCCCATCATCTACCAGGGCTGGGTAAATACCCATGGGTGAAGATGCGTTGAACTACTTCTACAGACCAGAGAACTGGGAGGAGGCTCCGGGGCACTCTCTCTTCTCCTGTTCCCTTCACATCCACCAAACTATTGACCCAAAGCTTGCCCTTGGATTGATTCCTTCTATCTTATTGTCTTTTATGCTACAGACTTGAGAGTAAACGATGACAGCATCCCCACTATAAGAGTGAGGATTCCCCAAGACTGGCTGGTCCATGGCTCCAAAATGAATGGGCCATCTGGCTACAAAGCTGGGCCAAAGGAAGGGACTGCATTTTTCTAACCACCCTATCCAGTCCCACTGCAAGGGCTGTAGTGTCTCCTGTGTATCTCAGGTGTCAGCTCTGTTTTGGGCCAATACCACAGTGCTTCCCTCCCCTCCCCATAGAAGCACCCACCTGCTGCTGTTTGATCCTCCTGGCCAGGTCATCGGTGGGGTCAGTGTAGCTCACTGGGGACCTCACTCGGTTCAGGACCTCCTTCTCTACCTGCACCAGGTCCTTGCCAACACGATCCAGGCTACCCAGAAGCTGGTCGGCTTGGGGGTCATCCTGGACTACAGGAATGCTCTTGGGCAGCACTGCAGTGAGACACAGCTTGGGTTCAGTCTCATTGCACATCTTCCGTCCCAGTCCTAGGACACGAGCTCTCCCATGCACAATCCCCAGATCTCCAACTACTTCTCATGACAGGTAGCCAAGGGTTGGCATTTCACCATCATTATCTCTTCATCCCATTTCCCTCAGGTAGTGAGCAGACCCAACCCCAAACTTCATTAAGGTTATGATAGGCACATCCCTCCATTAACCCTAAATACCCTACAACAGTCGATGGAGTGAAGATCAGACTCAGAAATCTCAGAAGGGCAGCAGAGAATTGAAGTGCACAAGGTTGGCAAGCTCTTGGACCCGAGTCGCTCCATCACTGCTCTTTCTGGGAGGACACAACGCATCCCAGTGCTAACCAGGCCTCCCAACACGTGCATGGGTTGGCTGTGAGCACACATACCCTGCTGGCTGGGCTGCGCCGTCTCCTTCTGGCTGCGCCTCAGCACGCTCTGAGCTGCTGCTCGCTTCTGCTTCACCGCGTTCAGCTCTGCTTCCAGCCTGCAAGATCAGCTGTGCATCAGCAACCACAGTACAAGCAAGTCCCGACACAGCCCCATCTGCTGCAGGAGCCTGCAGCCTGCTGCTCTTATCTAGGAGGACGCTGCAAACTTTTTCTTTTCTGTTTGAAAGCCCTCAAAGTCCATAAATCCAAATTCCATAATGCAATGATCACACCCTCGTGGCTTGGGAACAAAACTCCCACCACAGACTCACCCAGTGTTGCTGAATTTGGGCTGTGGGCAAATTTTCACAGCATATGAGCAGTGCTGATTTATCTGAGCACCCGAGGCCAAGAGCTCACGGCATTCTCCCCTCCTTCTGTGGGAACCTCACAAACCAACTGAGCAAACGGCAGTGAATGGTGGTTCATGGTTCGAGGAACATTTGTCATTCCCCCACTGGGGCAGGCAGAAAGGAGATTGCACAGATAGCTCCATCCTGTTTGGCAAGTCGCAAGCTGCAGTCTGATTCTGCAATGAATTTAGTCAAACCTATGCAGGTCACGTGTTTGCGTGAGGAAATCCAACCTGTCTGCCAAAAATGCTTTGACAGCAAGGTCTGTGTGGTGCACAACATTGAGGAGGAACGGGGACAGGAGACACTGGGTCAAATGGAACTACCCTTTAATGGGGAGACCAGGTGGTATTTTGTGCTGCTTTTTGCCTGGGGTTCAGGCAGTCGGGCTGCCGATGACCTGCACTCACCTGTTGACTTTGTCCGTGGCCTCGGGGTCTGGTGGAGGGATGGAGAAGCAAGCAGAAGGGGCCTCCTGGACCACACCAGTGCTGCTCTGCACCACCCACATCTCTGGGTTGCTGTTGTCCTTCAGGGTGTACTTGTCACCTCTGGTCAGCTGCACCTGGGACAAATCAAAACCCATGCAAAGGTTCACCTCTGCAGCACCAGGCACGAAGACAAGATCTGGAGAAGAATCCAATTCCTGCTTCTTCTGACGGACCCACCAGTCAATCTCTCACCTCTCCTGCATCCCAGTCACACAGGGTGTCCAAGGTGAGGGGCTGGGAGGAACGCATCCTGCGCAGTTTCAGAGGGCTGATCTCCTTGCTCCTCTTTTTCAGGTCAGCAATGCTTTTCTCTGCCTGCTTCACTGCCTTCTCATCATTCTAGATGAGCAGAGGAGACAGTGAATAAATGAAGAGGAAGGGATCGCACAGCAGTGGGTACCTGGGGGGGGGGGGGCAGTTCTCCATCCTTGTGTGTTCACTATACAATGGAAGCAGCAGCTTCTCCATTCTTGAACCCTTGGTGTCCCCTCCTCTCCCTTTTTGTTATCACAGAATCATTAAGGCTGGAAAAGACCTCTAAGATCATCCAGCCCAATCATCAGCCCATCCCCATCATACCACTGAACCACATCCCTCAGTAAACTTATATCACCACTCTTCTCTGTTTCCTTCCCTCCCAGCACATCTGCCCTGGAAGGGACAGCCTGAGTTAACCTTTGGGGATCCCACAGACTCATAGGGTTGCTCCTCTTAGGGATGTTTCGATTTCAGACGAGGAGCAGAGACTTGCCAAAAGGTGACTGCATTCCAGTGTCAGAAGTTCCTGAGATCCCAGCACCTCTTGGCAGTGAAATGTATGGGAAGATCCCACACTGGATGTATCCCTACCCTCTCTCCCGGGCAAATGTTCCTTTCCATCCCACATCTCCCCCTTGAGGTCAGACTTCTCTCTTCCCTCCCTTGCTCTTGGTGGCACTGAGGTGGGAGGAGCTGCCCCAGGAGGGTCACTCACCCACCTCATCTCATTCCCCACTCCTACTTAGGGAAGAAGCCATAGCATTTCTGTGCCAGAGATGCGCAATTTCTTTATGTCTGGATGGTGCCAGCTGTCCTAAAGACCTCACCTCCAGATGGAGCAGCAGATCCGACACCACGCCAGGGCTGTCCTTGTTGAACTTGGTGTATTTGGTGTCCAGATCAGAGCTCATCTTCTTCAGGGAGCGGCTCACAGTCTCAGCATCATCCTGGAACTGGAGTCACAGGCAAGAAAAGTCAGAGCTGGGAGAACATTACTGCCTCCACCTCTTGTGGGGTGTCTCCGTTCCCAGCTAAGCTCCCACAGCTCACAGAACTCCACAACCATCCTAGAGCATAGGGTTGGACAAGGGCTGTCTATGGTGTGAGCTGTGCCAACAGACACGTACTGGGCGACAGCAGCAGACATTCTGACCACGCTGGCACAGCCACGTATCCCCGTGGTCTCCGCTCCCCTCCCTGCTTTTTACCTTCTTGTAGTTCTCCACACTTTTCAGTTGACTCTCCTGGCAAATGCAGAGATTCAGGAAGTTCTGCCACTCATTCTTCAGGGCTTCCTGGTGAGCCTGAGGTGGCACAGAATGTGACTCAGTGGGCTCCTCCAACCTCCTGGGGCACAGATTGCGTAAAGCATCTTCATTCTCTTGTAGGGTTTGGAAGGAGAGCCCTTTCCTCACCTGGATGGGTTTGACAGCGGGATGCTTCAGCTCAATCATCCTGTCCCCATCGTCCTGGAGGTTGTTGACAAACTCCTCCTGGCTGAGCAGTTCTTTGGACTTGAAGTCCTGAAGAGGAAGAGAAACTTGACAGGATGAGAGGCGATGGCCTTCAGTTGTGCCAGGGGAGGTTCAGGTTGGTTAGTAGGGAAAACTTCTCTGAAAGAGCGTTAGTGTGTTGGAAGAGGGAATTGCTGGAGTCACTGTCCGTGGAAGTGCTCAATAACCATGGAGATGATGCCCCTGGGGGCATGGTTAACAGGCACGGTAGGGATGGGCTGACAAGCTGCCACCCCCGAAGCTCACCTCGTACTCCCGCCGCATGCTCTGCACGTCTGTCATCTGGTCACTCCAGTCCTGCTTCAGGATGCGGGTCTGCTGCTCCGTCAGGTAGCCCAGCTCCTTGGTGCAGCCCTGCAGGTGGTGGTACAGGCTGCCCAGGCTCTGCCCTCGCCAGATAGAAGCTTTCTGCAGAGGAGAGACAGGTGTTGGTGCTCCCCAGATCCCCCGCACTGCACATCCACCAGAAGAATCCCGGAGACCTCGGTGAGATAACTCTGCTCATTCCTATCTGATGGGGCCTTTCCCTCCCTCGCAAACAGGATGAGTTTGTCTAACCAGACTCCCAGGTGTGGAGCGATGCCCCAGGCAGTCTGAAAGCAGCCCCAGCTCTGCTACGTTTCTCACAATGGCATTCCTCAATGTCAAACCCTACGGACCCAGCAGGCCAAGCCCAGGATGCTGGGTCACTTCTTTTGCTCCAGATTCCCATCTCCTCTCCGCAGTCCTTGTTATGGATCAGGACAAGCCTCAGCATTTGCAATCCCACAGGATGTTCTGTGGGATGGGGTTTCCTGCTGCAGCTCCAGACTAACGGCCCATAAAGAGGTGCAACCTTCACCCACAGCCCTCAATTTGCACCCAAGAGAATGAGGGACATGACTCCACCGTGCAACCCCAGAGGAAGTTCCTGCGTGACCTGGACATTCCCTGCCCATTGGGAAAGGAATTACTCTGCTATGAGATCCCAATCTGTCTGGAACACCACCAAGATCCTTACCAGCAAATCCTTGTATTGGCTTTTCAGATCTGTCACATCCTGAGTTATAACAGCCAAGACCAAGAAAAGAAAAAAAGGACAGAACAATAAGCTGTGATCAAAACACCATCACTGATAGACGCCGGGGAGCCGATTCACAGAACCACCTCCCTGGCCTCTGCCTGAGCTCCAGCCTCCTCCTGCCCTCTGCAGCACCATGGCAATTTGCACACAGGACTCAGGGTTGGGGTCTCAGGTGAAGCAGAGGGGGCAGAGGATGCCTTACCCTGCAGCGCAGGTTCTTGATCTGAAGGCCATAGGCTTCGATCTCCTTCTGGAGGATGTTGTGCTCAGCTATTTGCTTCTCCAGCTCTGACATGCCGGGGCCGTACTGTCCTGCATTGACTTGTTTCTGTGCAAATGAAGTAAGGTGAAGCAAAATACCTTATTTCTGAGAGAAACCACAGTGCGAGCTGGCAGGGTATGGAAAGATCCGATACCAGCCTGGGAGGAAGGGAGGGAATCTCAGTGTTTTATACCAAATTGGGCAGTCAAGACACCCAACACCTTACAGGTAGGTGTACCCTAGGATGCAGGGCTAAAAGGCCTTGAAGACACCACCTTCCCTATTCTTCTATCATGGCATCTCTACTTAATCCCCTTCTATTTGCTCTTAATCTGAATGGGTCAACCCAGAGGGGTTTTAAGGGTTTTAAGGTCTGAAAGGAGTGTTCTCCCATCCAGATCACTTGAGTTAGCTCCACCACCAAACCCATCACATCCCTGCGTGATGCTGGGCACACGATGGCCGGCAGAGCTCTATGGGCATTATCAGATCTTGGAGGAGTTGTAGGGACATGGGGAAAGCAGCTGCTGTTACCATCTTTTGGTCCAGAATCTTTGTCCAGTCCACCCTGGGCCCGATATCGGGGACGTTCAGTTTCTCATAGAGGTCCCTGTACTCTGCACACAACTGTGTCACACGTTCGTGGAGCTGCTGGATGCTGCCGAGGAGAAAAGGCACATTTTTGTGTGGCAGCGTGGAATGAGGAGAGCCAAGGAGTTGTTTGAGGAGCCCACCTTTCACCCATAAAAGTTTGTTATTGTCCTACACTGGCCCTGGGGTTCTCCATCACCAGGGGTGTCCCAAGAGTTACTTTGCAGGAGGTGGGAAGTCCTCCATCTCCCTGCTGGGAGTTCTCCATCCCACCAGCTCCCCCAGTGCACTCACTCTTTCTCTATCTCGTCAGCCTGGGGGTGTTTCAGCCTCTTGGCACGGTCCACGTCCAAGAAGAGGTCCTTCAGCAGCGTCTCTGCCTCCTTGAGGTTCCTGGCATTCTCAGCCTGGAACTCGAAGGCTTTGTTCTTCTGCTCATTGCTGACATCCTGGAGACCGGGAAAAAACAGAGGGAAAAAAAAAACTCTGATGCACAGAGCAGACACCTCACCTGTTACTGCAGGCACCGCACTTCCAGCCAAAGCCTTCCGCCTTCCCACCGCCCTGTGCCACGTCTCACCTGTGCGAGCAGAGACTGCGTCTCCAGGATGTCCTTCTCCACCTGGTCAGCATTGGTCTGCATGCGGGCAATGAGCACGGCCAGCTCATTGCTCGAGGACCTGAGGGTGGGAGCAGCACAACAGGCGGGTGGGGAAGGGCGATCTTCGTCATTGGGAAGAGCTGGAGCTGCAGCAGTGGGGTCAGCTGAAAGCCCCAATGGCTCTGCCAGGCTCCAGCAGCGCCGTGGCTGAGTTTGTCAGTTCAGGGCAGCCATTTGTCACAGCCCCAGGTGACAGCAAAGCGTCACTTAGCATTACAGCCACACCAAGCCAAGCTCATGTTTCAGCTCAGTCCACGGCAACTGCAGCCCCATCAAATCTGTGCCCCATAACCTGCAGTGCTCAGAGAGATGCAGGGTGGCCCCAAGCCATACAAGAGGCACAGGGCCAGGGCTCGGTCGCTGTGTCCCTGAGCACGCAGGAGCTGCCCCCTCCCCAGCGGGTTACACAACATCCCACTCCTCCCAGCACACCTGGAATGAGGCGGCGTCCCATGAGCAAACACCTCAGCACCACCCAGCTTCCCTGCCCAGACTGTGCAGGGAGGAGAATGTGAGTCACCCTGCAATGCCCAGAGGAATTCGGCTCCCACTGGGGAGGAGCTCAGTGTGGGATCCTGGTACCCAACCTCCTGCAGAGGGTAGGTGGCCATAATGCTTCTTCCTGACCAAGGAACCGCTGGGATGCCCCAGTTCTGGGTTCACAAGGACGGGTGCACGGAGCAGCTTTGTTTAGAGCAAGCCACGATGAAACTATGGATTGAAAAATACTGCATGCTTGGAGAAGGACCCAAACCACCTATCCTGATCCCAGGCCATATAGAGAGGGAAGCTGACTTCTTCCATCCACACTGACACCGACCGCACAGCCCCATCTCCATCCTTTAGGGCTGTCCCTCCTGTCCCATCCCACGGACGAGAAGCCTTGCCTTCCACCCCAAGAAGCCTCCCCACACTAAGAACCACGCACAGCACAGCCCCACATTTCAGAGTGAAGATGCTGCAGGAGGGCAGCCAGCAGGAAACAGGAACCGCCACCTTACTGGGATAGCTGGGAACAGCACTCTGCTCCTCCCTAGGGCTACCTCGGGCCTACAAGAGGCACAGCACCATTATTATCATTATTAATTGGTCCATTCCTCACACCACTTTCTGCCTTCCAGACAATCCAACTGCACACAAGGGACAATGTCACTCCACAGGCGGAGGACTGTCCCCATCCCAGTACCTCGTTAAGGTGGGACCACGGCACCCACTCACCAAGCAGGGACAAAAAAGGGCTCTGGGAGCTCCACTGTGATCCCTGGGATGGAAATTGGGATCCCCAAAGGCGTCACCAGAAGCACTCACTGGCCACCAAGGCGCTCTGGGGACCACCTGCAGAGCGTGTGCTGGTGGCTGGACACAGCTCAGCCACCTTCATTTTCACATCCTGGTGGCAGGATGGCTCTGACTGAGCCCCAAAGCAATTAGCCTTCATGAGCTGAAGACCCAAAACTGAGCAGGACCAGCCTGGCAATGCTGCAGCTCTTCTTCCAGCTGCCGTCCCACACAGCCCTCTTCTATGGCTGTTTGCCATTGGGTTTGGTCCCCGTAAATGGGGCAGCTGGCTGTGCACGCCTAGGGACCCCTGCAGGACCCCTCTGTGATTTCCTCAGCCTTTCACCCCGAGATTCCTGCAGAACTGGTCCCCTGGCACTGGGAAACACGAAACTGCTGAGGGAAGGTGGAAAATAACCCTGAGCAGAACCCACAGCACAAGGGAGGGGCGAGCGCACCGCTCTTGTAGTCACTGAGATTGGAAAAGATCTCTGAGATCATCCAGTCTGACCATCCCACCACCAACAGCGCCCAATGGCCACATCCACACATGAGATGGAGACACATCACAGCTGGGATGAGGACGTCTCTTCCCTCCTGATCCCATCTCACACCTCCTCCCTGGAGCTGAGCAGATCTGCACGGAGGAGGATGTGGCCGTTGGGTTCTTGGGGTGCAGCCTGAGCTGTTTGACCCGCAGCCACCAGGATGGATGAGTGCAGCCACCAGCAGAGCTGTTCCTCACCCATTGTTACCATCTGGGAGCCCAAATTGAGCATCCCTCCTGGAAGCACGCTTGGCAGGCAAGCATCCCACCAACCTCACTCAGCGAATCCTGGGATCCCAAATCCCATCTGCCTCACCGATGAGCAAAGCCTGCTCCACTCAAGCAAGGAGACTGCATTTGTCCTCCTTGCTCCTTGCTGCCAAAATGAGGATTGCTGCTCAACTAGCAGTGCTCCAAGTTCACGTTCAGGCACTGCACACCCCGGGAAACACCACAACCAGAACACAAAGCCCACCAAAAATGAGGGCAACACAACCAGGGCCACCACAAATCCCAGCCAATCCCAGTGCTGTTGCCGACCCACCACGAGCGACGCTCTTAGGGCAGCATCCCAAAGCCCTCCACCTCCCACCTCCCCCCCTCCCGGGTCGTGGTTGACGGCACACGAAGAGGATGGCACTTACTTGTTGGGTTTGGCTGGAGAAGCTCTGCTGGGGGCATTTTTGCTCGGGGAGCCTTTGCCCACCGCCTTGAACATGCTGGAGAGGCTGCGGCCGCGATGCTGGAGCTGTCGGGGCGGCGGTGCTGCAGGCTGCGGGGATGGGACGAGGGACTCAGGGGAAGGAGGCAGAGCCCAGGAGCGGCTCTGGGAGGCTCCTCCCCGCGGAGATGGAGCTGCATGAAAAAAATGACTCGAAAAACCAGTTTGGGGGGGGGATGGAAAGAGCTGAGCCCCAGAGGGAGAATGGGAGACCTCGCCCCGGAGTAGGGAGCGTTCCAGTGCTGCGTCCCAGCAGAGGGACTGCGCCTTCATAGGGGGTAAAAGTCCAAAACTGCAGCTGAGATGCTGCGGCTGTGGGCACAACTCGACTCACAGACACACGGGCAATTTCAGGTGCTAGAGAGGCTGCAGGAGCCCTATGGACAAAGCCAACCGAAGCAGCACCACCACAATTGGCAGAGCGTGATGATGCTGGCGTGGGTTTGTGCTGCTCTGCCCCATTTCCTACAGCCTAAAACAACCCAGGGCCAAAAGCAAAACCTGGCACCCACCAGCCCTTCCCAGCTGACCTCTGTCCTTTTAAACCAGCACAGAACGAATCCCATCAGAAGGACAGGTGCACGGGACAGGGCTCTGTTGCAGGGCAATTTGTACCCACGGTTTTGCTCTCAGACAAAAGCAGAGCCTGACCTCCTCCCGGTGGTTTGGTGATGCTGCTGATGAGCACCGCTGCAGAACCAAGGACGAGAAGCAGCACAGCGCAGTGGGAGCCGGGCTTTGCTGCAGGAACCCCCAGCACAACAGCGGTGCTGCAGCTCCCAGCACCCATCCCGCCACGCTCACGCGGCCCCTGCAAGAAGCAACAGGCTGGGAGACGAGTCTGACCCGTTCTGCCCTCACCACAGCCACCCACATCTGTGCCCGCTTTGGGCCCCAGCCCAAAATCTGTGGGCAGGAGCATCGCAGCTCCTGTGCCAGAACGCAGCTCTCCAAAACCACCCAAGCGGCACCACGAGGGCTTTGGGATACAGGGTCCCACCTCTCCTTGTCTGCGTTCCCCGCGCTGCCAAACCTCACAGACCTCTCTGCTGGGGGAGGTGAGGGGTTAACATGGCTCAGAACGGACTGCCCCCAGTTAGAACTATTTGTCCCTCGGGATGGAAACACGTCTGCCTTCTCATTGCCTCCCTGTGTCCCTCCTGAGCCCTTTCCATACTCCAGTTCTCCTTGTTTCGAATTTCTTCATTTTTGGGATAATTCCCCTGGGTCCTTCTACAAACAGTGCCAGGCCCTGGCTGTGCAGAGATCCCATTTGTCAGGCAATAAGGCCCGTTCACCCCGTGCCGTGCTGATCGAGTTCAGCAGCCCAGCACCTCTGTTAGCTGTAGGGAAGAAGTTCTGCACGGAGATAACGCTCACGGAGATGCCGAGCTGCTGCATCCCGGCGTCAGGCATGCTGGGAGCAGCCCACGCAGTCAGCAACCCGCGCTGCAGCCTCACCTGTGCTGTGTGCTCTGGGGGATGAACGGGGCTGAGCGTCGGGGCCGCGTCCCGCATGCTGTGCTGCCTCTGCCAACAGCACCGCAGCCGGAGCGAGGATGCAGGTGGGGAGGGCAGAAGGGAGCTGCTCCTCTTCCTTTCCAAGCGTTGGGTGGGTGGATGGAAAGTCCCAGCTGCGCTCCTCTGCCTCTCTCTAAATACAGGGCACCATCTCCCTGCTCATTAGCGGCTCCATCCCAGGGCAATGCTCACCCTGACCCCTCAGACATCAAAAGGACGCACTGCCCCAACCCGCAGCTCCCTGATCTCATGGCATCAACACGCGGCTCCTCAGAGCTCCCTGCCCTGTAGCACCCATTGCTTTACCCTCATTTTCCTCTCCCCGGGAGCCAGCAGGGCGGTGACAGCAGCACTTACACACACACTGAGAGCAGATCCTCACAACACCTCGCCTGCACAACACGTTTTGTTCCACAAACAGAGCGACTGGATCTGAGCACCCATCAACCAGCCCAGCAATGAGGGGCAACGAACCCACGGGACGAGCGGAGCTGCTCTCAGAGCACTGCTTGCACACTGCCTTGCACCAGGCCCACCAACCTGCAGGGCTCAGGGTGGCACTGATTGCACTGCCCAGCGCGGCCCAGAGCTTCTCGTGCTGGAGATGGACCCCGTGCAGCTCTGTGCTGGGGCTGCCATCACCCCACCCTGTTCTGAACACGGCACATCCATCCCTCAGCACTCACCCTGAGCAGCCAGGCACTGCCTGCCCCCATTAATTGGATGCACTGAGAAAATTAGAAGCTCTCCCTATGGAAAAAAAAAAGAAGAAAAGGTGGTTCAGAGGCTTTGATGCTGCTCCTCAGCCATTCGGGCTCCCTGTGCTGACCATGGCATGGAGCCACTAATTGTGTTTCTTGCGTGGGGGCCGTGGGCAAAGAGCTGCAGCTCCATGCGTGGATGGGGAGCAGCAGCACGGATCCCCAGAGCAAACAGACCCAAGGAACGGCGCTGCCTGGTTTGTGCTGCAAGCTCTGCAGCTCCAGGTGCCCACCAAGGCTCCTGCAGTGATGCGACTCCCACAGCAGCAGCAACTGTGCTGGCTTACAAAGCTCTGAGCTGCTCCCAGCCATCAAGCAGCACGCTGAGCTGACCTCACCCTAAGGGCGAACCCCCAGAGCACCAACCTTTGCTGTGCCAGACCCAGGCACAAATCCCAGGAGAAGAGGGGCTGCAGCAGTGACCCACGCAGCCAGGAGCTGCTCAGCACTTCAGAGCAGGGACAGGGAGAAGGCAGAGGCTGCAGCCACAGCCAGTAGCACAGCCCCAGGCTCAGCACTCCTCTTATCGTGTTCCATACTTCCTCTTGGAGCTTCCTGTTAGAGTCTGGGGGCACCAGCCTCGCATCCTTCCCTGCTCTCATCAGACCTCCCTCTTTGCTTCTTCCACAAGCCAACCCACCTCCACCTTTTCCTACGTGCTTTGGAACAACCCATGCATCTCAAATCACACCCTGAGCCATGGGGTGGGCAGAATCACTCCTGCTGTCAGAGAATGGGGATTTCCCAGCCCTCCATCTGAGCTGCTGGTTGAGCTGGTTGTGTGCTCAGAGGGCGACAGCCACAGTTCCACTCACCTGGAATGTTTCCACTCTGAAGCACTGCAAAGCGCTGTGGGTTTGTTGTAGTAACAACTCTAAAACACCACCTTTAAAAACAAGGAAGATTGTGTTGTCTAGGAGCTCTCAGGTCAGACCATTCCCATCCCACGTTACCTCTCCCCTGGTTCTTCCAGCCGCCTGCTTTGCTTGACGTTCATCATTTCCCCTACTGACATCCATCCATCAACTCCTCAACACCAACCTGCTGTCACTGGGCCCTGGAGTGAACGTGGCTGAAGGCACCACCTGACCACGGCAGCCCTCAGCAGCGATGGATCCCATCTTCTGATGGATGCAGCCATAGCAGGCACGAGCTGCTCAGCCCGTAATTAAAACAGCACTGTGAGACCAAAGGCACCGCACTGCACAACTGACTGAAGGCCATCACAACCCTTTGCTTCCTGCTCGAGGAAGGAAGGGACTGCATGGCATGGGAGGAGAGAACGTCCTATGCAGCCAACAGCAGTCCGACCGAGGAGCTGAGCAATAAGGAAGCAGGTTTCTACCATCACCAACCCGCACTCTGCTCCGTGCTCCGGTGGCACAACTGAACACACACCAGTTCCGAGGGAACCCTTCTGTTCTGTACAAACATTTCAGACCTGCCTGTGCTGCTCCCTCACAACTCCTGCTGCCCGCCCTTATTTTTGCCATTCCAGCCTTTGGTGTCAGGCTGCCTCCGAAGCCTCCGTCCTCTGCTCAGCGCGTTGTGCTCAACCAACTGCACGCCTCAGAGGTCGGGAAAAGGCCTTTATTTGTTTGCAGGTTCCTTATCTGCATCCAACAAATCAGTTATCTTCTACACGATGCTTTATGTTGCTCCTGGCTTTCTGTAACAGTGACAAATTAGAGTGGTGGCAATACCAGTTTCACTGGAATCAATCCAGGCACCACAGACCTGTGGCAGGAGGGCAGAAAGGAGCCTGGCTCGCAAATCAAACAGGACGACGGCTCTCAAACTGATGGCAGAAAAGCAGAAGAGAGCTCAGATTAAAGCACCACGAAGCCATCAACCAGCTGACAGCTCAGCTACTGCATGACCTCTCCTCGTGCAAAGGGAAACTGGCTTCATGGGAAGTCTGCCATCCAAGGCTGAGAGAAATCATCACCCGGTGAATGAACAGCCCTCAGTGCTTCATTTCCACAACTCCCCTCTGCTGTGAAACCCCCTGCTGTACGTGGGCTAATGGAACTTGCCAGAACACCAAAAATCTCCATTGAAAGAACTGCACACAAAACAAGAGGCTCCCTCTCCTCCTCCTCCTCCTCTTGAAAGCTGCTCTGTACTCTGAGAACCCACCTATCAAGCCCAGAACAAAGCAGAAAACATTCAGCCTGAAATGATGGGAATTAATTCCCCTCATTCATCATTCCCACAACAGTCAAATCATTTAAAGCCATTCTTCTGCTCCCACCCCTATTAACTGCAGTGCCTCAACACGGGGACACGGCACAGTGCAGACAAGGCAGGCAGAACAATGCAGCGTTCCACTCCCAGCTGCAAACACTGAGAACCCAAACGTGGCTGATGAGAGCTTCCAAACACTTTATTTAGGACCAGTTCTGCCCATGTGCTTTTTTTTTTCCCCCTCCCCCCTTCCCTCTTCAATGAATGCGATTATGAAGTTACTGGCATTCTGGAAGTGCCCATCACCACAGCACCCAGCTGCTTCAGGGGAACCAAGAGCCAACACTCAAGAACCCAGCAGTCGCTTAGTTCTGCTGTCGGGCTCATCTACCAGCAAAGGATGAGGAGAGAGCAACAGACAAGGTTTAGATCAGAGATAGAATGAACACCCAGAGCCCCAGCTTCCCGTGAAGATCAAGCAGCCATCCCTACAGCCACCCACAGAGCTGCAGCTTCCCAAGAAAAGCCTTGCAGCAACGGGTTTGATACTGCATTTAGTCACCTAACAGAGCGTGGATCAACAAAGAACAACCCTATCAGCCCCAAGCACAAACTCCAGTTACACGCCAACACAACAGGGGTAACCATTAGCATTTGCTACAAGAGTTACCATCCTTACTGATAAGGAAAGAGGCTCTGGTTTGTGACTGCTGAATGTTAAACAATAAAGAAATTTCTCTTGACGTAACTATACATGATCCTCAGCAGGGGCTGGGAGCTGAAAGGCAAGGAGAAGCCCCCCCTGGCTGTTCCCACACTGTTCCAGTGTCGCCTCATTTCCCCATCACACCCGAATTTCTGGAACAAAATCCATGCCAAATAACAGTGCAGGGGGAGAATCAAGTTATGCCTGTGCCTTGTAAGTGAACGTGTACCGACCCCCAGCACAGCCACCAAGCACACTCCAACTCCTCCGAGCAGAATGGCATTTGTCTGTGCTCCAAATTATTTTCAGCTATTTATAGTGTACTTAAGTTTCTGAACAGATTGCTTGTCTTTAATACACCAGGAGAGAGTGTGAGTGCACAGACATACACACAGAACACAGGGAAGAAGATGGCAAAGCCTCCCCCTCTGTTGGTTTCAGGTGCAGATGTTTAAGTCCTAGAACCTCTTGGAGCTTCTCCTTCAACACAGATTAAAACCTCTGTTCCTCAGAGGGGTCCTGGTTAACTTTTGAATCCAAAGATGCCCTTTATGTATCCCGTGAGGCCACTCTTGGCCTTCTGCTCCACCTTGTCCTCCAGAGGTGGGAAAGCAACATGATTAAGGGCCAGGTCAAAGAACAAGGGTTTGCATGGGATGGGCTGGAAGCCTGGAGGGAAGTGCACGAGGCTGACTTGCTTGCTGACTAGAGAAGGATCCAGACAGAAGGTCTCAAACCGTTCTGAGAGTGGCTGAAAGAGAGCAACGCAAAAAGGCAAGTTAAACACAGCCCACGAGCCCACCAGGCACAGAGAAATCAGCAGCACTGACCAAAGCTGAAAATCCCACGTGTGACAGCTTGGGCCCTTGGGAATGCTTTGATCCCCTCCCAAAGCCCTGCTCTAGATAACCTCCTCAAACACAGGGAGAAAGCTAACCAAACAACAATACAGAGTGGCACGTAGGAAGCTGCAAGCTGTTCCAAGCTGAGGAACTCCACCCTGTCATCCACCTTCGGCACTCACAGAAGGAAAACAAGACGACGAAAACCTCTCACCCACTGCAGTCCTGACAGAGCTCCAATTAACCTGACATTTCTTGATTTCAAGAGACACTCAGGTAACAGGTTTAAAGCAATATTCATTAAAGAGCACTTCTTTAATTTGACAGAACTCTTAGCTCCTACCTTGCCATCCTTGACCTGAGACGGAGACTCAGTCTCATGATTATCATTTGCATCTGCAAAATTAAAGAAAAGGTGCTAAGGATAATAGACAAGATCTTCAGCTGTTCCCTAGGCTGAGCTGTGTCCTTGCTTTCTGGGATGTACAAAACAACATTTGTGGTAGAGGCAGCTTGCTTTCTAGACAAAGAGAACCACGCAGATTGAGTAACAGCCACCACAGCACTCCAGTGATGGAGAGCTTCTCCAAGTCACGGCTGCAGGAGCTCCTGCAAGAAGCACCAATTTGAGTTAAGCAAGAGCTGATGAAAGACAACACCAATAAGAGGCAATAAAAGACAAGGCAGTTTGTCACTTATCTTTATCCAGCAGCAGGCCCTGCAAAACCAGCAGCTCAAGAAGTCACAGAGTTCATCCACCCCCCTCAAGCTCCCCTAACCTGGTCCACACTCACATTCTTAAGCACTTTTCCCAGATAGGCAAATATAAGGTAAGGTCAACGAGAGCTGGTGCTGCTGTCAAGGAAGTGCTACGTACTGAACCCAATTTGTTTGCAGGAGGAAAATTAAACACTAAACAAAGTATTCTGAGCAGGTTACCAAAACAGATGCATGTCCTGAGGAAGCACATTTGCAACTCCAGGCAGGGAGCAAGATGCCAAGCGTCCAGTCAATGGTTGCCTAGCTGCACTACAAGCAGACTGAAAAGCTGCAACTGGGAAGAAACCATTTTCAGGAGCCTCCATAAGTCAGAGTTTATGTGGAAAGACACTTGAACTTCAGAAATGAACTAAAAGAAATTGAACAGCTGCAGGAGCATTATTCAAGACAAGTTATAACTCTGGTACAATTCTAGAACTCACCCAATATAGCTGCTGCTTGCAAGGAGTATTTTTCTGCATTGACTTGAGTGATCAGATCCTGCACGTCAGGCAGCTCCTAGGGCATGAAAAAAATGAAGTGCAAGGCTGAGACACGCCAGAGTGAGGGCAAAAGTAAAATCTGACAAGGGACTGAAAAATTAAGTGCTAGAGCTAATAAGCCTTTCCAGAAGAGGACAAACTCCAGGACAGCCCTTAAGAAGCTACAAATACAGCATGACAGAAAGCATGGAAAAGTGCTAGGGAGCTCTTACAGCAAGGCCACCTCCTCCAAAGCACACGGCCTGTCAAAACATCTCCACATCACTACAAAGTACAGCAGGTCACGAAGTCATACTCAGATTATTAATTTTGCCACTTGAAGATCAGCCTTGAATTTTAATGGCCTGGTGCCTAATTGACAATAAATACTGGGCCAAGGCTTTCTCATTAACTTCAGCTCCACTCTGCACACAGCACTGGGTTCCTACCTTCAAGCTGTTTGTAAAAGCTCCAGCTCCTGACTGAACTTCACCAGCGTATTTCAGCACTCTTTCATATAAAACCAGGGCTTCACTCCACTTCTTGACCAGTACATAGGACTGTGCAATGAAGAAACACCTGCAACAGTAAAGAGAGTCCCTGACGTGACCGTGTTTGTTATCCATACCTTTTACAACTCAAATCCCTGATAACAGAGCCCATTAAGCACGTCTGGCCAGCTTCCCCTTAGCAACCACTCTTCATTTCACAAAAGGGCAAAGGAAACTGCATCAGAGTCCTGTAATGTGCATAAAGCCTTGGGATAACAACCTCTGAACGTGTAATGCCTGCTGGAGGGCACCTGGCTGTTTCTCAGTCACCTGTAAGCTTTGTACACAAGCGTCTTCAATCCAATCTCTTTTTGGAAATTCTTGTCCTCTTCCAGGCCAGGAAGCTGTGTCAGTTCCACGAGGTTCTGTGCAAAACAGAGTAACAAATTCAGGCATTGTTTTCCTCTGGAATCTGGAAAGCTGGCCCTTTTAATACTCAGCACTGCACTCCCATGAACATAGTTTCCAGTTTTCTAATTATCAGTATGCTAATCTTACAAAGGACACTGACTGAAACTTGTACATGTTTGCCCTCAGGACAGATTTCCTGACACAAACAGGAATTAGGACAAAGACTCCTAAGATTTCACATGAAGCAATTCTTTCCTAAGCCTCCTTTCCCATTCAGAACCTCCTGAGCCAAGGGCTCCCACAGTTAATTGAAAACATATGTGAGAAATGGAGAAACTGCTTATGAAGCACAAGCACAGGGCTTTTTGAGCTGCTGCTTTTTCCAGCCAGCAGAAACTACGGCAGCTGTATGAAACAGTCAGAAAAGCTACAGGAAAACTGCATGGGAGAATAAATGGCAGGGAGGACAAAGTGCGGGGAGGACAAAGTGGAGGCAGGCCGTTCTGCACCCACCTGTAGAATGATATCATAAAGGCGGATCAGGTCCTGGGGCCGTGGGGTGCGTTTGCCATCCTCTTCTGAGCGCTGCTGCTGCAGCAGTGCCTTCTGCAGGGACTTTGCCATGCTCTCATTGCGCTTGATGGCGGTGGACAGCTTGATGTAAGTCAGATAACTGCAAAGAGATCTCATTTAGGGGGCTGTGGGAACTGCTGGGCCATGGCTCTGTTCTGAAAAGGCTCCTCCCCCCATCCGGGCTGATACTAGTAGGAGCAGAACCATCCGAAAAGTCAACCTGGAAGTCTTAAGTAAAATCCTTTCAAAGCCACATGAATCAGATCTTATCTGCACAGTCATCCTGTGAGACCTGAGAGGTCCGAGACAAAAAAACCTCACAGAACAAAACAAACAGAAATAAAACACTGACACGAGTGTGATTTCTTCACGCTGGCAGCAGTGTTTGCCCATTACCTGTGTAAGTACTGTATGTTGGACACCTTCCCAGAATCACCTTCCAGAGAGTGCTCCCGTTGCTTCTGTGGAAATCAGGGACAAAATGCTGTGTGACAATGCTTACACAGGTTGCTGGTGAAAGAAAACATCAGGAACAACTCGAGGGTCAGGTGAATCACAGAGCTGAATCAACTCTGCACTGCCATTCACTCTTACCGACCCTGAATACAATCAGAGGTGATAAACTACCATGGGAATTTTTAGTAAAGAAAGTCAAAATAAAGATTCTTGCTGTTAAGCAAGCTTGACAATAATGAATCAGTCCCAGAGCAGAACTACATGTAGAAGCTATATTAGCAGAGTTAAATGTAGGACTGCTGATGTTTGGTGCTTACCTGGTCTGGTTTCAGGTCTTCCCGCACCGCCTGAATGGCGTCTCTGCACTCACTGAGCAAAGACTCAAACAAACGTTCCCTGGTCTCCTCATTTTCTGCCTGAGAGGGGAGCAGAATGAAGACATTTGTCACACATTTCTCTCTTTCGCATCCCACACTACAAGCGTTAACAGAGGGGATGAAAGCAAGTTTCTCCCAAACTACAGCATCGACACCCAGGGCAGACAGAACCCAACCTGCAGTTCTGATGCACTTCAGGGGACCAAGTGCCAGGAACTGAACAGAAGCTGTAGGGCAGCTGGTCAGAGCTCCACAGCACTGCAGGCCCAGCACAGGCAGCTCTGCTCACCTCATCCTGCAGCTGCTGCCATCCCAGCAGCCCACAGCAGCTCTGAGAACTGCAGAGGTTGGGCTGTGCTGGAGGAAAGGCCCAACAAACAGAAGAGCTGAGCCTTACTGACCTGGCAAAGCACCAATGCAGATTGCTCTTGTTATGCTGATTTAGCTTTTCCTCTCCTGCTACAAACTCCTAGATGACTATCTTTTCTACACTCCCACTTGAGTGATGCTCAGTGGCAGTAATTAGTTTGTTTGAAGCATTTGGTTTTTTTTTTAAGCAGGCCTGTATTTCAGTAGCTGTGAATGAGCTGTTAGGCGTTTTCTGCTGTCACGACAAATCTGATCAAAACATGCAGAAGTTTTTGGCCTCCTGCCCCCCAAAACAAGATTTGGAAACACCTTCGAAGAAAGCAATAACAAACTACCACACAAAAAAACCAAGGTGAAGCCTGATTTCTGCCAAATGGACTGGCACAGCCAATTAAACAACGTGCCCAAAACCTCTCTGACTGATTTGGTAAAACGAAACTGCCCAGAAACAAATCCCAACCTCACCAACTGTAGGAATGATTAAGCTGGGAAGAGCAAAATTTAATGCAGTGAACTTGAGACTGGCCAAAAAGAAAACAAAAACCAACGGCCCAAAGACATTTTTGCTTGTATTACTTTCAGAAAAGCTGCACAGCCCCCTCTTTTCAGAGCTTAAGTTCCTGTGAAAAACTGCTGAGCTTTACCATTGACAGCCTCTCCTCTCGTAAGGTTTGCAAACCTAGGAAGGAATGTTATCTTTTTGTTATTTGCCTCACAAAGCCTCACCTATCCTGACCTAAAAGGGAGGTGGGGGGGTTCTTGGGGTTTTGGGGTGGTGTGTGTGTGTGTGTGTGTGTGTGTGCTGCAGGAACTTTTGAGGTGGGATGGACTACTGAGAACAACCAGAGACAAGTCTGGCAGCATTCTCAGCCTCACCCAGCAGAATGCAGCCATCTCACTGCACGCACAAAAATGAAAACAGACAGAGATCATCAGTCAAGCACAAACAGGAGAGGGCTGGGCCATGCAGTGGAACAAAGGCTTTCGTTTCTAAGCAGAAATTCCTAAGGTGAAGCAGGTTGTGCATGGAAATACGTTGGTGCTCTGATTTGCAAGATAGCAGAGAGAAAAACTGAGAAACAAGTGCACCTGCCTAGGGAGAACCAATGTGGCTCTTGAAGTCATGCATTCAAGTCTACAAAAAGGGTGGCAGAAACAATTTTAAGCTTGGAGTTGTTTCTCCAGTTGCCAACAAGACACTGGAGGCTGAGAATCTCTGCCTTTCCTCAAAGCACATCCACCCCTGTTTGCTTCTCAACGAGCTCTGAGGAATGCTGTTGATGCACGAGTTTCTGCTACTCCTCTGAGCTGGAAGGTGCCAAAGATCCCAGCAATGACAGCTCATGGAGGTGAAGCTGGACTGTCCATCACAGCTGACCCTCTGACTGCAGAACAGCCCAGCTCCAGCCCTCTGGTAACGTAAATACTGATCTCTGTGTTCAGCTCTCACCACTGCTAGTTGTGATGACACAATTCCTGTTTACAGAGGTTCCAAGGACCACAATGCAAGACTAAAGATTTCAGGTTGCTGCTCTGCCACTGCCTTATTGAACAAAGAGGGTAAATTCACTGACACCATCCATCTGCTGCTCTCACAGGATGGGAATTAAAGCAGGCAGCAGGAACTCTAAGCTGCACTTCCACCTGCTGGCCATACCAGTGTACACCTACCAGAACTGTAACAGCACCACCAGAGTCATTATAGCCTGGCAAAACTAATGAACACTAATGTTTCCTACCCTACCTGTCCTATCAGACTGCCTCCTTACTACTATCTCCTGCCCCTGTCCCGCCGTATGCTTTTGTGAGATTTTCATTTTATCATTTAAATGAGTATTTATCTTCATTTTTCTCCTGTTGATGTGCAGTTTTTTGGTGCTCCACAAAGCCCATCACCAGGGGCAACAGCTGCTGCTAAAGCCCTCTGCAGTGCCTCCTCCAAGATGCTGTCTGCAGAACAGACCATCTGGACACCACAGAAAACTCTTGGCTGCAGTATTAAAAGCGTGCATAGTGTGTGCTTCTGGAAGAGTTACATTCGAGATGAATTTGCCTCCTGCCATTTACCAATCATCTTCCTGCTTTGGAAGATTTGCTTAAGGCAACAAGAGAGTGCTCTGAACTTCAGAGCAGCTACTTCATCTGGCAGCAGTGCTTTTTGTTGCTGGAAAGAGGTGATCTTTACAGAACGTTTCCTTCTGCTTGTCTTCAGTTGGAGCAGCTGAGCATCATACTTCTCCACCTTTAATTTTAGCCTTTTGACCACAAGTTTGAGAAAAGGTTACAGCCCAGGCATCAAGTTTTATCTCACAGGGTGAAGTAAAGAGGACAATTAGAACAGACATTGGAGATGGTTCCTGACTTACCTGGACAATGGCAGCCTCATTGTCTGCCAGGCCCAGCAAGAAGATCCTCACTTTGTCTATCTTCACAGGAACAGTTCTTCCTCTCCACTCCACTTCACTCATTGTGGCTGCCTGCTTTGCTCGAGTTTGGGTAATCAGTGCCTGTGCAGAATGGACAGAGATGATGAGTCCAAACATAACAAATCCAAACTTAAGGAATCCAGAATGGATTACATTGAAATCTGAAGGCTTCTCCCCCCACCTCCCCAGGAGTGAGGCTTCCCACACATGAGCTTACTCGTGCTCTCCTGATACACACTGGCTCTTAGTGGTGTGCTGCAGCAATATTTATGCTCAAAGAAGTGATGTTTGCATGTTTGGGTTCCAATATTCAGGAAGTTACCTCCAGTTTTTCAGCAAGAAGGCCTTCAGTGCCACCAGACCTCAGCCTCATCTGCATCAGCTCATTCATAGCCGACTGGTCACCTGTAAGATTTAACACATCAGGGTGTATTTCATCTGAATTCAGAAATTATTTTAATGGATAACCAACACACCTTATACTGGAGAACTGGGGATTTGTGGGCAAGAAGGATACATGTTTATTTTTATTCTGACTTCATATGCAAACTACTAAGAATTAATATTTTGTCTTAAAGAAAAAAAACAACCTGGAAAACTGTATCTGTATCTAGGCTTGCTCCTATGTCACTTAGAGCAGTATTTAGAAGCCAATGTTCCCTTCCCATGAGCAAGCTCGTTGGTGCCTGGAGCTGAAGCAGCCACTTCCCTTACCAATATTATAGGCACAGTAACGAATGTTGGGAGAGATCTCCTCCACACGCTGGTTGTACAGCACAGCTTGTTCTTCTGTGAAAGCATTGGCCAGCTTCTCATAGATGGTCCTAGCAGAAAAACACACATTAACACCACAGTGGGATGTCCATAATCTGGAGACTGCTACTCTTCAGTGGCACCTCCTGGTTGAATGCAGTTACCTGACCAGCTCACAGCTACTGCACGTGCAGCCTTCAACCCCATGCTTACCCCCATGCTGTTTAGTAAAAGTGAGGGACTCACTTGCACTTGTTGAAAGCCTCCATTGCTGCTTTCCACTCCTGGTGCTCAAAACGAAGCATCCCTGTGAGGTAAGCCATGTATGCCTGCAGACAACACAAGGGTAAGTGAGCTGATCTTCCCACGACAGCCTGGTCTTAGCATAAAGGCTGCTGTGACATCTGGAGTAAGTGATCATCCCTTACCCTTGTTGTCTGATCTTCCCACAGAAACAAACTGATTTAAATTACATGTAAATGCCTAAGGAAGGGTTTTTTGTTGTTTTGTTGAACTGACATTGCTAAGGAGATGGAAGAAAACATGTTTCCTGCTTGTTATATAACCAACACGGCCCACAAATGTCACAAGACATCTTTTTCAACAGCAAACCACAAAACAAGCATTTAGCTGAGTACCACTGCAACCCTTATTCAGAGTCCAGGCTCACAACACAGCTGCTTTCTGTGTTCCAGGAACTGAAGCCACAAAGCTTATATTCCTGGTGTCTACCCTGGGACATCAAAGAAGCAGAAAACAGGTAAGTATATTTATGGGGCTGTGATGTATCAGCCAGGCTGGATGTGGCTCTGGGCAGCCTGGTCTGCGGGTTGGTGACCCTGCACATAGCAGGAGGTTGGAACAGGATGAGCACTGTGGTCCTTTTCAACCCAGGCCATTCTATGACATGATTCTATGAACTTATTCCCTACCAATTCTTTTTACTGTTGCTTTTTAAAGTAAAGACAACCACTTGACACACATAAACAACTTAGAAGTCCTCAGCCTGGCTGGTGTCACTGTTACTTCTCCAATCCTAGCAGCTGCAAGAATCCAAGCATGGAGACATCACCTGATTCCAGAAACAGCCCATCCTCATCACCTACTGCCAGGTGAGGACAATCTCTTCACCTAAAATCCAGAAGTTCCCTCTTTGGCTTGAGCTGTAAAACAAGACCAAAGCATCAGTGAATACCTGAGCTTCCAGCTTTGTTTTGGCATCCACTCTGTTACTCTCACACAGCCTCTCCAGCTCCTCAGCATGCTTCACAGCCTTGCGCAGGCGGGACAGCAGGTGGAAGCGTTTGCGAGGCTCCGTGTTGGCCTCCTGTTTGAGCTGCATGGCGTAACTCCACGCTCTCTCTGCATCCATCAGAATCAACAGCAAATACCTGCAGAGAGAGGAAGATTTAATGAGAAAATGATGATGTTTAAGCAAGTACTGCCACATCGCTGAGAGCTCTTTGCCAAGTGACCCGTGATTTGGCCAACAGAACTTTAGCTTGGCTAATAAAAGGCATACATTTTTGTTTCTGCACTTTATGAGGACATAAACTTGTATTATCCTTATCTCTTCTTCTGTATTTCTCGTTACAGAAGTGTAATTAGTCAAACGAGGAATGCCCCGTCCCTGGAGGTGCTCAAGGCCAGGTTGGATGGGGCCCTGGGCACCTGGGCTGCTATGAAATGGGGAGGTTGGTGGCCCTGCATTGGTGGGGGGTTGGAGCTTCGTGATCCTTGAGGTCCCTTCATCCTGTGACTCTGCGAAGAAGAGATTTTGATACAATTCTGTAGCAGCACAAACACTGCTAAGAAGCAGCGACCTGTGATCTCAGGTTGCTTTTCAACCAGGCTCAAAATGGGCAAACACATCTGTGAGCCCCACAGCTAAGGCTGCAACGTGTCTGACTTAACAACACCAAGAAAAGACAACACAGCACACGTTGCAAGTGTTTCTAAAAGCTGGGAAATGAGCCCAAGCCCCTGGCTATGCCCACACACCAAACAAGCACTCTGCCAGGTGTTGGAAGCCTACATAAAAACAGCGAGCTTTTGTTCAAAGGGAATGGGCTCTATCTCCTGTCACGTCCTTGCTGGCATTCATTATCAGCATTCATACGGCTCCCCTAGCTGCATGTTTTTGTAAGCATTTCCTCTTTAATACCCAGGTAATCTTTACTATGAAAAGAAGCCATTTCAGTGACTGGGAGGTATAAAAAAAAAAAAGAAAAAAAAGGACTGACTATTGCTGCTCCTTCCCCATTTATTCACAAGATGAAAGCAGCACACGAGCAGTTCCCCTCCCCTGCACAGCAGCCAGAGCATTCATCTTTTATTAATATCAACAGCACAAATAGAAATACATCTACATATGCTGCACAGAACCATTTTCCACGACGCCCACATGAAAACAAATGCTCAGGAAGAAAGCAACCACTCACTAACACAGGATTCCAGCCAGCAGCCATACCTGTTGTCTGAGAGAATCTCTTCTGTTACTTTCTTCCCAGTGAACTTGTGCCTGTTCCCCATCTTGAAGTTGAGGGTTTTTCGGAGCCGCCTCAGCCGCCGGGAGCAATAACCCCTAAGGGAAAGAAGAGGTCAGCCTGGCCACAGTTGTGCAGATGTCTGAGCCAGGCATTGTTTGAACAACTCAGAACTTCATAAGGTGAGAGGTGTTTAAGAAATGACCTGTAAAGCAGTGCTTAATAAACAGAATAAGAGTGGGAGGACACGCAACAAGTCTTGGTCTTGAAAAATCAGAATAATGCTCTCCCTGTTGTCTAACTTTATGCTCACTCATTGTGTGTTAGAGCACAGTGAGGTGTTAGCAAGCTCTTAAAAAGGAACTCCAAAACAAGAAGCAGTATTTATACTGCTCAGTGGAACAGTCATAAGAATTAGGCTTCATTAGGAAAAAGACACAAAGCAACTTGACAAGAGATATTTACCTGGCAGACTGATTTTGCTGACTGCTACAGCAGGTTTATATTTTCAATGGTATTGTGCCAATAGAGCAAACCAAGTCACAGCAGCTGTGAGACAGACAGCAACTCCAAGACATCCACGCTGCTCACTCACCTGTACCTCTGGAAGTCCCCATGTCGTAAGCCGTGCTGCTGCTGGGATTCCTTCACAATCTGAAGGACTGGGACTTGTGTTAAGGCAGGCTGACAGTACAGCGTGCTATCAGTTCTACATTCTATCCCCAAAGAATGCAGTAAGCTCCATTAAGCAAATACGCCCTCAACAGAGGCTGGTGGAGAGCACCCAAAAGCTCTTCAAAGACACAAACCCTCAGTTGTAAGAAGTGACTGAAAGAACCATCTCCTCTGCTTACCTGGAGCTTTTTGTCTATCGTGACAGGCAGGACTAACACATACTGCAAGCATCTCTGTGTACAGAGGACCACAAGATCCTGCTGCTGCCATACTTTGTTCCCAGCTAAAAAGATTAAGCATCTGGGCCAGTGTGACTGCCTGCCCTACCTACACCTCAGCACCTCCCATCTTATCTGTGACAGTTCACACAACTGGAACAGGGCAGCCCTCCTGCCCTTAAACATCCCACCTCTCAGGAAAAGGAGACATGTATTATAGAGTGCTGAGCAGAATCACTGCTGCCTATCAAAAAGTCTCCACAGCTTAAGCACTGAAAGCCTGCATTAGTAAAAGAGTTAGACTGCAATGAATAGGAGGGCACACATTCCTCACTCCTGCTGCCTGCTTAAGATTTACCACTAGATATTATGAAGAAATTCTTTATTGTCGTGGTGGTGAGACACTGGAACAGGCTGCCCAGCAAGGTTGTGAATGCCCCCTTCCTGGAAGCACTCAATACCAGGCTGGATGGGGCTGTGAGCAACTTGGCCTAGTGGGAATTGTCCCTGCCTACAGCAGGGGGTTGAAACTACATGATCTTAAAGGTTCCTTCCAACCCAAACCATTCCAGGATTCTAAAAAGATTTTTTTCAAATTGTTTCCTTAGCCTGTGCCATTACTTCCTGAAGCCATATCCTCTATTTAATTCACATTTGCTGTCTTAGGTTTTCTCCCTGACAGTACCAGAGAAGCTATGGATGCCCCATCCTTGCAGGTGCTCACAGCCAGGCTGGACAGGGCCCTCAGCATCTTGATCTGCTCCAGTGGTTGGCTGCCCTGCCCACAGCAGAACGGCTGAAAATGGACGATCTTTGAGGTCCCTTCCAACCCAAACCACCCTATGATCCCACCACAGCAGTGGCTGGCTCTGCCTCCTGCTCTGCAGTCACACACCTCCTAACATCTGCCATATGCTGACCTGAAACCCGCAGCCTCGTTTCACGTGGATCACCCAGAAGGTAAAACAGCCTGATCACAGCTGTGAAGCTGGACAGGTTTCACACACACACAAAGCCGCCTTCCATGCCACATCACACTTCAGAAACTCAAATCCAGCAGAGCTGCCGGCACACCCGTTACATTTATCAACTGCTGCCCCCTCCAAGCATTAACATTGCGACCACAGCACGCAGCCTGGCGCTCAGCTCTGCTCCGAAAGCTGACGTGTACCTGGGAAGGAGCTGCGAACAGAACAAAGCCACCATTCAAAGGGCCAAAATCAAATCCAGACAGAAGAACTCAGCCCAGGCCACGCAGCCCCGCTCCCCTCACCCCTCCCGGCCTCTTCTCCCCATGAGGAAAGGCCCCGATGCTCCCCGGTCGGCGCTGAGGGAAGCGGCCAGGCCCGACCCCGCCACGTCCACACCGCCCCGCAGGGCCGCGCCTCCCGCATCCTGCCGCATCCCACCGCATCCCGACGCCGTTCCGAAGGATACTCTCCAACCCCAGGCTGTCACTGAGGCCGTCGCTCCGCGTCCCCGCCGGCCGCTCGTTCTCCTTGTTCTCCTCCGCCCCGCCGCGGCCGCCCTGCCGCTCCGCCGCCATCTTGCACGCGGGCCGCGCTCGCCGCGGTGCATTGCGGGCCGGGGCAGTAGAGCCGCGCGCAGACGCCGTGGCCAGAGCGGCCGCCGCCGCGGGGGCTGATGGGATCGCGGAGGACCGCGGCAGCCCGGGGCGCGGCGGTCGGTTCGTGCGCTCATCCAGCCCACGCGGAGCTCCCTGTGCCCTCCTGTGCCGGCCCCCGTTCGCCCGCTGCTGCTCGCTTTAACGCGGGCCCCCAGCAAAACGGCTGCTGTGCCCTGCCGGGCGGGCTGACGCTGACCTCTCCTTAGTGTGGTTTTTGGGGTTTGGGTGTTGAGATTCTAAAGAAGAACTGCTCAGTCGAGCTGGGTCTGAGGGTGTAGGCTCAGAAGCAGGTTGGGCACAGGAGGCAGAGCTGCAATAAGGCCTGGAAGGGCACCTCGCTAAGCAGAGCGCCCAGGGCAGGGCATGGGCTGTGTGCTCAGCCATAGCCCTGGGTAAGCAGGCCATGCCCACCACAGCCCCACAGATGCCTGTTTTTGGGAGCAGCCCCCTGGGGCGATGCTGTCCTGGCCTCTCACTGCCATTCTGGGACTTCTTCCATTCCCATCTGCCCAGGGAGCCATTCCTTCCCATGCCGTGGGCTCAGCCTGCTGCTGCAATACAACGAGCTTTTCTTGCTCATTGCCCCTCCACGGTTCTGAGCTGTGGCCTCTGCTTACCAATTTCAAATCTCTCATTTCCTCTTCTGGATAGGAAAACTGAAAGGGGAAAAACAAAGCCACATTCTCGTGCTGCTGCAGCTTTTTGCTGCGAATCTTTTTGCCCGACCCCCAAGTCAGCCAATTTCTGCCCAAGTAATGCATCCACGTCTCGAGCGAGAGGAAGAATTTGTTTTGGAATTTCTGTGTGGGATCTTGATAATGATGTTTGTATACGAGCCTGCAGGCTGCAAGTTACACCAAAGTTTGGGAAGAAGCTGTTATGTGTCCTTGCACCAGTGCCTCAGGGCTGTGAGCATCCCCTGATGTACCAGCACTGCCAGCAGGGGTAGACTGGGGCATCCATCAAGCTGATGGAGAAGCTGCAGAGTGGGTTAATTATTGGAGTAATTGATGCATTTAATGTTTCCCTCCACAGGAACAAAGGGAGGCAGCCTGTGGGAAGGTGAAGTGTTCTTGGAGAGCTGATTGCACTGAGCAAACTGAGACTTCCACTTGTGAAGACTGGGAAGGAACAAAGCAGGCAATTTTTGCAGGCAGGAAAAAGAAGAGACATTAAAAAGATTTGTTCTTACTGCAGTGTATTAACCTTACACCCCCACCGTAGGGAGGAAGAATGGATTCTCATAGAAACCTTTACTCATCTCTGCAGTGTTCTGGTGCAGGGATCTGGCTGCATGCTGGGCAATTTACCCATTTGCAATCTGAGAGAACTCCCACTCCTAAACCCCTGCAGCCCCAGCTCTCAATAACCAGCTCTTGTGCTGCAAAAACCACCTGAGCACTGGGGGCTCTCCCTTTGGGATGCGCAGCCCCATCTCCCCCAGATCCCAGCACTCAGGAGCTTTTGCTGTCCCACCACATCCAGCTCCCCAGTGCTGTCTGGGGCAGCAGGCAGGGCTGGGGGTGCAGATTTCAGTGTTTGTCCCCACGGAACAGCCTGCGAGGGGCTGGGCTGGAGCTGCCACCGCCCCGGAGCCCTCCTCCTCCTCCTCCTCCTCCTCCTCCTTCTCGGGGGGGAGGGAGAGCACGGAGCAGCACAGACTGGCTGCTGGCTCCCGAGCAAGACGGAGGCGAAGCTCTCTCGTCCCACCTGCACCCTCCTAGGATTGCTGGCTCCTTGGCACCCCTCGTGCTCTGCGTGGCCCCCTTTGGGCATCCTGGTGCACCACTCTGCAGCGCTCTTTGCTCTCCCTCTTCTCCACGCACCCCTGGCCATGAACGGGTCGGCAGAAGGTTCGGGTGAGGGCTGGCATCCCGAGTCGGTGCTCATCCCCCTGGCATACCTCCTCATCTTCCTCGTGGGCACCGTGGGCAACTGCCTGGTGCTGGCGGTGCTGCTGCGCAACGGGCAGGTGAAGAACACCACCAACCTCTTCATCCTCAACCTGGGGGTGGCTGACCTCTGCTTTATCCTCTTCTGCGTCCCCTTCCAAGCCACTATCTACACCCTGGAGGGATGGGTGTTTGGGTCCTTCCTGTGCAAAGCCGTCCACTTCTTCATCTACCTCACCATGTACGCCAGCAGCTTCACCTTGGCCACCGTCTCCCTTGACAGGTAGGAAAGGGGATGGGGGATCTTGAGCAACGCAGCATCCCCTCTGCCAAAGCCCACGCAGGCAGGAGAGGGCAGTGAGTACTTGTTGGGGGCCCAAGGAGCATTTCCCTGCTTGTGGGTGCAAGGGGATGCGAATGCTGAGGGCTGGGAACCTGCTGCAGGATGGAGGAGGGTGGGATTGGAAGCTCCTGGTGCTTTCAGACCCCAAAGGTGAAGGATCTGGTGAAGGATCCAGGGTTGGAAGGATCCAAGGTGAAGGATCTTTGTCCTAAGGCTGCAGCAGTAGAAAAGGGGATGGTGAAACAGTGAAGCAAAGCTCTGTCCCTGTGCAACACCGGCTCTTGCTGGGGCTCTTTGTCCACTAAATAGCTCGCAGCCCTCGAGGAAGAGAAAACTTAGGGATGTTTCAGCTTGGACACTGCTTTTTCCATCTTCCCCTTTCAGGAAGGAATAGCCAGTTTCTGTCCCTGTGGTGTTTCTCACTGTGGCGACTGTCCCAGCCTGCTCAGCAGGGGGTGCAGGGAAGGCAGTGTAAAAGCTCTCTGCTAAAAAGCAGCCTATTGCCTCACCCTGGTCCATCTCAGCTCCTGGCACCGCAAGCGCTCCCAGTTCCAATCTCACAGCAGCCAGAGGGGATCTGGCTCTGCTCAGTGTGAGACCCGGGGCAGTTCCCTCAGAAAGCGCTGGATGTGTCCTAGGGATCCTGAGACAGGAGGGGGCCGTCCCTGCCTGCCCCCAGGAGCAGATTGGGTGTCAGCACAGGGTTGGAGAGGAGGACGTTCCTCAGCCCGCTGTGCTGCCGAAATCCCTGCAAACACCAGGGAATCGCCGATAGCTTGGGAAGCTCAAGTCCATCCCTTCAGCTCTTTTCCCAGCCTGATCTCCATGCCTTGCCCAGAGCTGCAGCTGCACCCCTCTCCTTTCCCACGCAGGTACTTGGCCATCCGATATCCCCTCCACTCACGGGAGCTGCGGACGCCCAGGAACGCACTGGTGGCCATCTGCTTCATCTGGGCACTCTCCTTCATTTTCTCGAGCCCCTACCTCAGCTACTACCAACAGTTCCAGCTGGCCAACCTGACCGTCTGCCACCCGGTCTGGGCCATCTCCCAACGTAAGGTCATGGATCTCTGCACCTTCATCTTCAGCTACATCATCCCGGTGCTGATCCTCAGCCTCACTTACACGCGGACCATTCGCTACCTGTGGAGGTCTGTGGATCCTCTCCAAGAGATGTCGGAGTCCAAGAAAGCCAAGAGGAAAGTCACCAGGATGATCATCATCGTGGCCGTCCTGTTCTGCCTCTGCTGGCTGCCCCACCACCTGCTCATCCTCTGCGTTTGGTTCGGCTATTTTCCCCTCAACCACGCGACGTACGTCCTGCGCATCCTCTCCCACCTCGTCTCCTATGCCAACTCCTGTGTCAACCCCATCGTCTACGCCCTGGTCTCCAAGCACTTCCGCAAAGGCTTCAAGAAGATCTTCGTCTGCCTCTTGCACAAGAAGGCAGCCAACAAGGTGCACGTGGCCCAGGGGACCAACACGGTCAGCATGCTGGAGGCAGAGCTCAGCGAGGTGACTCGTCTCAGTGAGGCCGGGCCTGGCTGCTCCTCGGTGCGCTGCAGGGCTCAGCCCTGGGGGGAGGCAGAGCAGGGGGGAGGTGGGCAGAAAACTGGTGGCTCCTTCCTCACCTTCCGTGTCACCTAGCAGCGCTCCCTTCACGCTGTATTTGCAGTCTCCTGCAGTATGGCGGGCCTGGGGACGGACCGCGCGTTGGGTTTGTGTCAAATCTTCTCCTTTTCCCCCCTCAAACGTCAGAACTGTTGAAACGATGCTGATTCCTATGGGCTCAGCCAAAGAGCCAAGTGTAGGATTTGCAGAGAGCAGGGAGATCCAAACCCCGAGTCAATTTTAAGGTAGGATCACCTGTTCCTCTGCTCCCTGCTGCATCTACACCCGGTCACTCATGAGAGCTCTGACCTCCAACCACAGCAGCCTTTGGCTTTCAATGTGGTGCAGGCGAGGCCCCGGAAGTCTACAGAGACTGTTGGGGGATGGAGACTGGGTGCTGGGGCCTCTTGGAAGAGGTTCCAGTGCCAGGAGCGTCAGGTGAGACTGGGATCGGCACTGGGGAAGTGTGGGCCCTTCAGGCAGGGCTCGGACCTGAGGCACTGGCACTGCCCTTCCCATGGGGAAGAACCCACACAGCCCAAGCATTACATCCCCACAGAGCAAGGCTGGGCTGCAGGGCCCCACGAGGTCCACGTGCTCCAATAAGGACCTAAAGGCTTCTATCCTGCAGATCGTGTCATCTCCCTTAGGATACCTGCAACCCCCTCCTCCATTTCCCTCCTGCTCAATGCAATTGGGGCTGGGATGAAGCTACTCCTTGCTTCACTTTGCTTTGCTCACCCCTGGGGTGAGGGATGCTAAGGAGCTGGGGGAGAAATCATGGGCAGAGGTGAGGACTCTTGAAAACACAGCATTAGGACACCCTGTGGGGGCTGTGACCCTGCAGCCCCGCTCCTTCTTGGTACTGCGCTGTCTCCCTTCCAAGGCTTTGCCTTCCCTCCCCTGCTCTCAAAACACTCATTTTCCCCCACTGAGTGTTATTATAATCAGCTTCCTGTCCCCACGTGGAGGGCCAGAAACCAGCCCCTGCCTCCTATCAATAGCCATTATATTTAGTCTAGGCCTGCTAACAGCATAAGTCACAGAATGTGATTATATAAACAGCACCATTACTCATATCTGTATTTACCACCCCTGCTGAACCCTTTCCAGCCAGGGAAGCGTTGCAACAGCCACACCAGCTCAGCTCAAAGCCTCCTCCTGCCCTCAGCACCCTGCACCATGGGGTGCAATCCCTGCTCGTGCTGGGGACAGAGACATTGTCCCACCATCTCCTCACTGCCCCAATAACACGTTCCCCATGCTGGCATGGCTGGGTGCTGATGCAGAGGAGACAGCAGTGATAAAAGGAAAGCTGTCCCCCAGGTTGCTGCTCAGGATCCATCTTCAGCTGGAGACACGGGAAAGCATCGCTGTGGTGCTGCAGTCAAACACAGGATCAATACATGCACTATGTGGAGGTGCAAAAATATCAGCAAAGGAAGGACGAGCAATCTTCTAACAAGAAATGATTTAGTGAACAAGGAAAATGATTTGCAGAGACTTTCAGCACATCCATTAATTACATTTAACACAACCTTCCCAAAAACCGACTCCAGTGACTCACGGCTGCCTGGCTCCCCTGGCTGGTGGGTGCCAGGAGAGCTGAGATGGAGCACCCAGGGATGGAGCACCCAGGGATGGAGCACCCAGGGATGGAGCACCCAGGGAAGGGAGCTGCACTTGGAGACGCAGCACATTCTGCCACTACCATCCCTGCTTTGAAGAGCACATCCCAAAATTCACATGGATCTGCTGACCTCCTTTTCCAGCAGCCCAAGCCCACTCTTCTGACACCTCCTTGCAGGTGGGATTTGAGTTTTAAAGTCTCTTGCTCCTTGTGATCTCTACTGTGTGACATATCTGCCCCTGCCCTCCCTGTTGTATGGATCCTCACCTGCTGATCCATAGCTGCTTGCTTACAAGCAACGAGATGGAAGCCTGTGCTGGCTGCTGGCTCATTACACCATTTACAGGATGGTGCAGAAATAGAGCAGATGCTCCACTGCCTCTGTGACTGCTGCCAAGGGCTTATAAGCAGCACAAACCCAGAGAGGTGGGAAAGCCTGGAATCAAGGATCTGGGTACAAAGGTGCACACAGAAGGAGTGGAGATGCCACAAGCAAGGAGAAGCAGATGCGAGATGCTGAGCCCCAGCATCTTAAAGTTTAATAAAATGCAAAGGTTAAAGTTTAATAAAAGTGAATTCAATGGGGAGAAGGAAATAAATAAGCTAAATTCAGCTTTCACCAAGCCCAGCAGAGCTCACAGAAACAAGACTGAAAGCTCAGGTTAACATGAGCTTGCCAGAGCACAGTTTTAATGCTGTTTTTCCAGGAATTGCTTTTAAATGCTTACCATGTCAAATTTCCTGCCTGGTATTGCAATGGAATCCAGGGGGGGGCTGAGGTTTTTGAGCCCCCATCTTGCTTTCTGCTGTACCTGACTGCCAGCAGCAGGAAATCTGCAGGGATTCTGTCCCACGTCCCCATCCCTGCTGAGTTTGACAAAGGCCTGTTGTTCTGGGGCAGCAAAGGAGGATTTCACCAGAGCAGGAAGCACTCCCAAACTCTAGCACAGCCCTCCAGTCTGGCCCCCCGCAATAAAAAAAAGTTCTCCTGAAGCAGATCTCCAGCCCCTCAATTCCAAATAGTGGGAAACAAAAGCACTTGTCCATGGGCATTAGTGGATGCACTGTCAGCCAGATCAGAACCTGGGGCTGTAAAGGAGGAAGAGGGAAGGGCCTTAAAACCAGCAGGATCCTTGGAGGAAGCAAGGGGGAAAAGTGTGTCAGGCCCAGCAGCACTGTGCAGCTTTCAGCTGTCACCTCTGCCAGCAGTCTCAGCTGGAACCACTGCACTGTTGGCAGGGTCACTCTCATTTAACGTGTTGCACACACATTCCTTACCATAAAAAGCCAAGGAGCACGCAGTGCTGGTCCTGAGCACCGTGCAGAGTTGGCCACTGCTAGAACCCTCAAGGCAGCCCAGAGGGGCGAGGGCTCCTTCCTGTACACCAGGTTGCTAAGAGCCCACCCAGCCTTGTCTTCAGCACTGCCAAGGATGGGGTACACAGCTTCTCTGGGCAGCAATGCCTCACCATCCTCCAAGTGAAGCATTTCTTCCTAATATCTAATCTAGACCTCCCCTGTTTTAGTTGAAAACCATTCCCCCTCGTCTTATCACCTAGACTCCCTGACAGAGTGCCTCTCAAGCTTTCTCGTAGGCCCCTGCTAGGTACAGGAAGGCTGCTAAGCTCCCCCCTTCCTTCCCTCAGCTTTGCCTGCAACCATTCCAGGTGAATCGCTTTGTCCTGGAATCAGCTGCAATAAAGCACATGTTTTATAGCCTCAGCCTGAGCACATCAACAAATTCCACCCGCTCTCCCGGAGAAAGAAATACACATCAGATCACTGCTGTGGCAGAAACAGATCCAGAAAGATGGAATCCAGATCATTCTGGTGAATGTCAGAGCGTGCATCCAGCATGCTTGACAGTGCACATAACATGTGCCAGCAGTGCTTTGCTTTATGCTTAAAAACACTCTGTCCAGGACCTGCCAGCCTCAGAGAAGCTCTCAGAGCTTGCAGAGGAAAAACAGACAACTCTGAAATCTCAGATTTCCTCAAGCATTGGAGATCAGAAGGCAGGGAAGAGGGCTCTCAGGTGGGTACTGCAAACCCAAAGGGCCAGGCAGACGTGACTGAGATTTAAACCCACAGAGTGGAGCAAATCTGGGCTGGACTTAACCTCTCAAATGGCATTGCTGCTGTTTTATTGTCTTAAAGGAGTTTTCTACACCACCTGAGTGTTTCAAACCATACTTTAGATCTAGGCTTATAATTAAAAAGTCAGGGGTTTGGAAAGGCCAAGAGCTACCTGAGAACAAGTTGTCTGTGCAGGCAGCAGCCCAGGCTCTGCCATGGCAGGACCTGTGCTCTCATCCAGGCTCTAACATCCAACTCTTGCACACCATGAGAAGAGAGATGCTCTGGGCCAGTCTTTATCCATTGGCACTGCAACCCCCTGGGTCAGGCTGCTCCTAGCACACAGCCCACCTCGCAGCTCTGAGGCAAGCTGTGTGGAAAAGAAAAGGCAGGGTTGGTGAATGCACAGCAGCAGCAGGGTTAAAATCCTGCTCCCTACCTTTCTACCACCTGCTCTCACTCTATTTCACGCTGAGGTCTGCCCCATTGCCTCCTCTCCTCCTCCTCCACCCCCATTCTGCTTTGCAGTGCCCCGATGGTGACACAATGGCTCTTCCATTGCTGGGCTAATTAGGTGCCAGCATACATTCAGTTCTGTAAACACACGCTTAGGTGAATAATGGACTTGCTCCAGATTGCAAAGTAGCAGCTATTGTGAGCACACCTAGCTCTATGGAAACCCCTACTTCAAGTGTTCCCATAGGGAAATGATAGATAAGACCCCACAATGGAGCAACAGCAGAAGTGCAGTGGGAGAAGGAGGACTGAGAACACAGAAAGACAAACATGCTCCAAAGCTCTGAAAGGCTTTGGTGTGAAGATGGCCAAATTCAGCTTCCATAGTCAAGCCTGCAAGTACCACTCCAAGTCACACTGCTGGCTGGACTAGTGCCCAGAAAATTGTCTAGGGAAAATTGGCTAGGGACGTAGCATTTGTTTCTCATGTGATACTCAGAGGTTTTATCAAGAGAATGGACTTGGCTGCTTGCAGGAAAGAGATGCATCAGGTACCAAGACAGGGTGCAAAGAAGAATTGGGAAGAAGGTCCTCTGCAGACATCAATATGGAAACATTTTGACACACGTTCTGCCTCACATCAAGGAGCAGCAACCAGTCGGGATGCCAAGGATCTCCCTCTGCTTCTCACTGCCCTCCAACCTGACTGCAGCATGCTGCTGCCCTTTCTACCACGGCCTCACACAGGACAAAGTGCTGCTACTGGGACAGCTATTGAAGCTTTGGGGTAAAACATTCCCTGCACATAGTAGAGCTGCAGGTCTGCTGAGCTCCAGCACTGACAATACTACACCTCAGAACGATCATCTTGCCTCCTTACTAAAGAGAATGAGAGTTAAGAGCAACCACGGGGAAATCCTTTGGTATCCTACAGAAATGTGATTCCCAAAACCCACCAGGGAAGCAGGCAGCACAATTCAGAGCTTACAGCCTGCTGTCCTAAAGAGAAGGACTGTACCCAAAAGGATTCACAAGCTCCCTGTGTCAGCTGTGCATTGAAGTTTGAGTATTTACAAAGGAGCCTGAAGATGTACAGATATAAATCAAGACACAGCACTGCAGTGCACACCTTCAGTATTTGCTCAGTATCCAAAGAAGGCAAAGACAGACAGGAGGTTGTGTGTCCACAGCTTTATAAATCTGATAAATACAAGTATAACACCCTGCCCACAACAATGGGGTAGGGGAGAGGGGAAGGGAGTCACAAAGGTTGCTGAAAGAGCACTGACTTGTACTTGGCAGCTGAAGAGTACAAGTTGTAGGTTTATGCTGATGTGTCAAACAGCTTTTCAATCATCTCTCCCACCTGGTCGACCTGGTATTTGATGTACTTCTCAGGGTTCTTGGTGAAGGGCACATTGCTATACCTGCAAAGGAAAACAACCCCCAGGTAGCAAGCAAATGGAACAGAGCAAAAGACTCATCAACTCTCACCTCCTCTTCTCCACACTGAGTGAGGCTGCTCCCACCTGCACCCTTCCTCTGCCTGAGAAATCAGCTCCACTCCAGCATTTGCACTTCAATCTGACAGGATATCTACAGTGGGTCTCCTGAGGTTGACACGAACAATGTCAAGTGGCTCAAAGCTTTGTGCTAAGTAGAACACCTGCACTCACTGAGCAAGGAACCAGGGTGACAAGCAAATGTTGACAACTAATACAACTCCCCCTGGGGGACATTTTAACGTGCAAGATAGCAAAGCCAAGACAGGAGAGTAGAAAAGTGCCTTACCTCTGGCTAGCCTAGGCCCCAAAAACTCCATAAATCCACAGAAGAGATGACAGTGTTGCAAGAGGTTCTCACCTGCTCAGGAAGGCACCATAGGACTCTTTCACAATGGTTTTCTGTGCCCGCCGAATTTTGTCCCGTTGCTCCACGTCTGGGATTGCCCAGGCTTTCTGGATCTTGCACAGCTCCTCCAGCCCATCATTAAAGCCCTGCCCAAAATAAAACCTGGTGAGTGTCCCGACTGCAATCGTGTCTCTACTGCAGTATTTTTCCCCTCCATTGGTGATCTCCACTGGACAGGCCTCCTCCTTAGGCAGATCTTAGTTCAGTCCTGTTTCTCTGTCCAATCAGCCATGGGATGTTCCTATGCCATCTCTTCCCTCCTTACCTTAAAGCGCTCCTTGATCATCTGCCTCTCCTTATCCTTGAGCTGCAACAAGGAGGGAAAGAAGTAAAAATCCAACATCACCGTTTGCCCACAAATTCCCCATCCAAGTGAAATCCCACCTATTTAGCTCAAATTTCTCCTAAAGCAGGGAGGAGAAAAAGCTGCAGTGAGCAGTGCACCCTACATACAGCAACTGGCTTTCGTCTGAAGTACGTTTAAAGAGGGTAATTTTCAGCCAGAACAGGCATAAAAATAGACTTCTCTATGCTTTGAGCCCCTTCTAAGGAAAGGTATCCAGCTTTTGCAAATCCAAAATAGCAGTATTTGCTCAAGTGAAAAGACTAGAGGCAGAAATTAGAAAGACTTGTGTGAATCTGGACAGGGGAGATTAGAAGGCAGTGCTGCTCCCTCTCTTGTCCCAGACACAGCATTCACTGCACACAGCAATACTGGCATGAGATATAACAAAAGTTTCTGGGACTTTTTGAAAGTGACAAAGGACAAGATTCTGGCAGTTTCTATCACCTAAAAAACATCCTTGTCCATCCTCTCACCTTCACTCCTGGTTGAAAGACAGGCAGATTTCTCTCTGAGATGTAATCTGTCACCTTTAACCAGCTGAATTCAAAATGAGATGGGAAAAGAACAAAGAGGAGGAGTTAGTAATACCTCACCAGAGCTATTATGCTCTCATCCAGGACACAAAGGCCAAACTGGATTAAAGCACCCACCGAAGCCTTCCACAGTGACCAGCTTCTAAGTTAGATCAATTGCTTGGCAAACAGAATATTTGGGTTTGGTTTCAGACTAGTTTCTGGTTTAGGTGAATCTCTCCCACCCTCCACCAGCACTGGCCACGAATCTCTCAAGAAGCTCTAACAAAACCACAACAAAACTGAGGGAAGAACTGAGGGGATGCCAGCTGACCTGCGCTGGTAGGTCTGGATCTGCTGTTCAATGAGCTCCCTGTAAGACCTCTCAGCTGTCTTCTGTGTCACAGCTACCAACTGGATCAGCTCAGACCTGGAACAAGAACAGAAAACATGAGGAAGCACACGAGCCAGCTGCTATCAGCAAGATCTGTGCCTTTTTACTGTAAGGGGACCTTGAAATGCACAAACTGGGAGACAGGAGCTACTCCAAGTTGCTTTCCAAAGCACCACTGTCAATCCTCTCAAGATGAAAGGATTCTCTGCAACATAAGGCATCTCTGATGCTTTCATCTTCCACTCTTGTGTAACATAATGTTTATACGTAGGGCAAAGTTTCAAAAGAGCAGCTTCAAGAACTCAATGTAGCAGAGTTGGGACAGAGGTGCAAGCAAACGCACTCAATACACCAGAGTCTGCTTGAAAACTGCACTGAGCATCAGCCTAGGCTTCAGAGAGATTAACTGCAATACATACTTACTTCTCCAGAGATTTCAGAATGTAGTTGTAGTTGTTGTGCAGAAAAATGGCACTCAAAGCTGGGTCTTCATAAACCTTGGATTTACTAAGAAGGTTAAGCTGCAAGTTGCCCAGCACTTTGCCTTAAAGAGGACAAAAAGTTTTGCAGTGAGACTTTTGTTACTGAAAATTCAGAGTGCTTTGTGCTGTTCTTGGGAATCCACAGCAAAGCAAATAGCACAGCCTCAACTAAATGTACAGGCAAGGGTACAGCCATTGTACCTTGCAATCCGACAAGCTTTACACAGATCTTTCCTCAGCAAGTCACCAAAACCTCCCAGTTGAACGAGTGCTTGGTTGCAGCTGGCAACACAGAGCAAGTTCCAGGTCCAGCATGGGTGATCAGGCTCAGCCTCACCACAACACAGGTTCATCTCAGGGAACCTGACAGACCTGACCACCATGACAACAGATCACCACAAGGCAGTACTGTGAACTCACCTGATGGTTTTACTGTTAAACAGAAAACTGAGATTTTACAGAGACCCTCCTGCACTCAGGCAGGACTGAAAGGTCCAAAGAACAGCGTGAAAATAGTTTAAGGCAACTGATAATCAAAGCAAAATGAGATTCTGCACTGTACTTTGTCTCGTCTGACTGTAACAGGACAAAACACCCAGTCCAACTATTTCTATCCAACTTCTGCATAATACTCCAGCTCAAACATGGAAAGATCACACAGAGTGGAGAGTACCCAAGAAGTCAAATGCAAAACAGCCCATGCAAACATGGGAAGATGTGCACAGTACTCACAGATGTAGGTACTCAGCAGCCGCCTGCTGAACTCCGAACTGTAACTACTAGCTGAAGAGCTGGTCTCTGAAAAGAAAAGAGTCTCGGGCCAGTTAACATGCAAAGGAAAAGAGGAGGGCACACGTGGTCAGCCTGATTCTATGCAGGCAAGCCCCTTCCCTGTTGCTACAGAATTAGTGCTGAGCTCTAGTTGTCAGTGACATTAGCTTCCTGCTTCAGTGATGACCATCAGTGGATTATCCAGGGTGAGGATGATCCTTGCATCTGCCTCAGGTGCTGAGCACCCTGGCAAAAACCTTTCCCTAGTGCTCAGACGACACTTTCCATCTTCTTCATTAGAAGCACACCCTCCCCTTCCTATCCCCACCACCCAAAATGGGGTTTTAAGCAACAGCAATTTGCAGGCAGAGAACAAACGAGCTGGAGCTGTTAACAGCAGGCACACAGCAGTAACTGAAACAAGCAGAACTCTGGAAAGTTTCAGCCATCCCCACAGTTGCTGACAGGGCCTGCTTGGCTCTGTACAAGAGACCACACCAGCACGAACACCTGCTCATAGGCAAGCAGTGACTGCAGGCTGGCACGTCCTTCTGTCTGTGCGCCACAGGGATGGCTTCCTGCCCCTGAGGGCCTGTGGGCTTGGGACATACAGGGCAGCTATCTCCTCCTTCCCCACCAGAGAGTTTGGCAGCCAGGCCTAGCTCGGGTGGTCTGAGTTCGTAAGCACCCCATGGGAAAGGCCTCAGGGCTCCTGTTGCCAGGAGTTGGACAATGAGGAAGCAAGCACACATAGCATAAGGCATGACACCAGCTGGGCCAATTTGCTGCCCATGCCAAACAGACTCAGTGCCATGAGTGCCTTCAGCCTGTTTCAGCTCATGTGGCATCCCTCTTTGTCTGCAGGTGACAAGCCCTATTCTTTCCAGCCCATTGGCAGAGCTACTTACCCTCCCCTTTTTCCCTTTTCAATTGTGTGTCTCTCCCCCTTTTTTTTTTCCCCCCCTTTTACGTGTTAATTTATCACTCCTGGAGAACAAAGAATTAACTTACATTACAAGGCAATATAAGTGGGCATGTGAGGGTGAGTCTGCTTACCTCTGGGATCTAAAGGAATATTGTATGTGTCCCCAAGAACTAAAAGGATTAAGGCAGAGCAGAGAGAAAAAGGGGAAGGGAGGAGAGAGAAAAAGAAACGCAAAGTGCAAAAACACAGGTTAGAGACCACCTTCCCTTTGAGAACTAAGCAGATGTTAACACAAAGCAGCACAGTTACACAAGACAGCAGGCAGGAGTCCCTCCAAGGCCACAAATGGAGCTGGAAATAATGGAGAAAAGGCTGAGTCTAACCTCCTTCCCCTGCTACAGACATGGTTTGTATTGTCATTGCTTGCATTTAGCAAGACACCTTGTCAGTTCAAGCTAACTTTTGAGACAAAAAAAAAGCCTTCTCATACATCAGCAGCACTTCACTGGGCCTCAAAATGAACTGCACGACCCACGTAACCTTTCCAAGAAGTAAAACCATCCCACCCTACCTCTGCGTGGTTACACAGGGCCCTGCTGAGCCACCCAGCAGGCAGTAAAAGCATCAGATTGCAGTCACTGCCTTTAACTGATAAGCTTTGCTCTTGTTGTTACTACTTGAAGGGAACACTGCAGAAAAAAATGCATGCATTTCCCATCACTTGGGATCGCTATGAGAGCTTTCAAACTCAACTCCA